CTGCTCCGGCAGGGGTCTTCCACAGGCGGCAGCCTCCATCGGTGCAGGGCCACCTGCTCCACCGTGGTCTCCTCCACGGGCTGCAGCGTGGAACCCTGCTCCACCGTGGTACTCCCTGGGCTGCAGGGGGACATCCTGCTTCACCATGGTCCTCACCACAGGCCGCAGGGGACTTCTGCTCCGGCGCATGGAGCACCTCTCCCCCTCCTTCTACACTGACCTTGGTGGCGTTCCTCACTCCCTTCACTCTCCCAGCTGCTGTGTGGTGCAGCGTTTTTTTCCCTGTCTTAAATATGCTCTCACAGAGGCGCAAAACAACATCTCTTATTGGCTCAGCTCTGGAAAACAATGGGGCCCTTCCCAAACATGGGGCAGCTTCTAGATCTTTCTCACAGAAACCACCCCTATGGCCCCCTGCTACCAAAACCTTGCCACGTAAACCCACTACAACCCTGTGGCTCTTCCAGTTGCTGGGTTAACTCCATGTACATGTATCTCTATTTGATACTGCACCCAGTGTCCTTGGTGCTTCAACCTCATAGCTGAGCCTAAGCGTGATTACCAAGCAGTTGTGAAGACATCTAGAATATAGATTTCTTGATTATTGCCTTTATCCTGCTTTTAGTCTGGCCAAAACACTTATTTTCACATTTAGTAGAATGGCCTGGACCTTTTAACATTTATTTATAATTGCCCCTGAAAGGGTTGGCTCAGATCCAGGAAGGTACTTAGGCTCTTAATTGATTTTGGTAGGATATAGATTCTTTATATATTTATAGAGGGTATTTCCATTCTCTTTTAAGATAGTCCCCAAATTGCAGATCTGTTAACACTCGTGTATATTCTGACATCTATCTCCTACTCTTCCAAAATGAGTTCGTAACCGATGACAGGTATTTTTGAGGTTCTTACGAGATCTCTGGTTATCTGCCCTCAGTGTCATGCTCTGCCTTGACTCCTAGCACAAGATGTCCACTTCGGGGGTGTTTCTTGCATGTAAAGAACCTTGTGGTACACAACCACACCTGTAACGTGATGTTGTTTTTGGTGCCAGTTATAATTCTTCTATTTGCTTCCAGTTGGCATGGCCTTCTCTGGATCCTCTTGCGCTGTTTTTGGTCCAACAAGTTTTGTTTCTGAGAATCTGGGACAGTTCCTATTTGTCTGCATGAGTTTTCATTGTGGGTTCCCCCTCGTAACCACTTCTGAAAAGCTTTTGTTGTTTCTTTCCATCCACTCTTCACAGAGGCTTGGAGGTCTATTTTAGTGGTTACCTTTGGAAATCTGTGCTCATGGTTGTCCTTCGTAGAAGGTCAGGATAATTTTGGAGTCTTCCCTGGTATGTAATTGATTTCCTGACCTGTCTCAATGAGCCTATTTCAGATAAATTCACCTCACCATATCCACAGCTCTTATGAAATTATGCAGTATTTCACCTTTCTCTTGTTTAAATAAATGAGATCATGTCTGCTCAAAGAATACATTGCATCATGAAATGAAATATTGATCTCATTTTTCTTTAACCACAATGAACTTTTTATTAGGACAACTGTGAGGCTTCTAGAAAGATCCTCTCCTGAGGGTCTCACTACACAAAAGAATTATGAAAATTGTTGCAGGAAGCACAGCCAAAAGCACGACAGACACCAGTAGAGTCAGATCATGCTCCATTTTATTGCCCGAATAGCCTAACTTTTATAGTGAACTTAACAGGGGTGGACAGTATTTCACACAAGATTATTGGTCAAAAGCACTGAGACAAACAACTACAAGAAAACAACCCCATCTGCAAGAAAACAACCCCCTTGTGATTAGCAGTCACATAGACCTTGTCCTTGAAGCCAGCTGCTGGTAACAATATTTTTCTAAATTCCTCAATTGGGCGATGTGGGAACACTGTCATGGGAACTTCTCATAGTTGCCCTGGTAGCTTGGTTTGCTCAGCTACAGCAAGCCATGGGATTTTTGCTCTTTCAAAAATCCCTCAACAGAAAATACTTCCGTGTTTTCCTGATCTGGAGACTGTGTAAATTGTCTTCTTCAGATATAGAGATTTGACAACATTCTGAAATGGTTTGGGAATAAATTGAGATGTCAAAGTTTTGTCACATCATAGAGTTTTCTCTTTTTAAGAAATAAATTGTTATAGCCTTTAAGAAATACAAGTGGTGTTGTGGTGGACAAATCCTTAACCTCAATGACCCTTACTTTTCCATCTTTACTTCATCTCAAAGCCTCAATTTGCCATAACTGATCACTTTATGACCTCTTGTCTTCTTGGGCCTTTTTTATTAATGCTTTGATGTTATCTCTGTGAGTCTTTTCTTGATTTTTTTTTCTTTTTTAATTATTATTATTCTGTCCTCTCTGCAAATACTTTTGATTTTGATTCTGGTTACTTGTACTTCTGACACCATTCGGAGGCTGCAGAGATCAAGGATGCCAAGTGAACCAAAAGTTTCTCATTCTTCTACAGACGTATTAACCAGCTGGTAGCTGTTCTGAATAAGGGGGTTTGTAAAACTTTCTGACATCTTCAGATTTCCTAATGCAGGTGTGGGCTCATCCTGAGAACACAGGATAGTTTGCCATGAGGTATTATTACAAAACTGTTAACACACAGTGATTTTATCACTTGCTTTAATTTCATAGATTGACTGCAATTTAGTTACCTTAGAGACCACAAATGAGGTAGTACTGTCATCATCATCACTGCTAATCATTTCTGAAATGTCTTTTGAAGGGTCCTTAATCTAGCGTAGAGCAGAAAATGTGATTTAATTTATAACCTATTATTACTATTATTAGATATAAAGTGAAGATTTTAAAGATTTGAAAATGGTGAATTCCAGTTAATCTTATTCAGGCTACTTTCCCCTAGCTACTCTAATCTAGTCTCCAAACTATTTTTAGTAGTCACTGCTTTCCTCCTAATCCACTGCTTTCCACTGCTTTCCCCATCTTCTTGTGAAAGGCTTGTTTCATTTTCCTTCCCTTTTCTTCCCATTTTTCTAGTCACTCTTGAAAGAAGAAAAAACAAGTTGGATAAGGAAAAAGTGGACTGGTGGCAAGGAACACAGGGGCACAAATGACTCTACATAAAGACAGAGCAGTAAAACTGCTGTTCATGAAGCAAGAGGGCTGCTGAGCTTTCCTAAAACGTAAATTTTATCACAAAATTGCCAGTGTGCCTATGTCTCCTTGACCAGAAATTGTGTCAGTTTTAAAATACATCTTTTCCATCTCAGGGAGGGGAATTTTGGGGTCCCTTCTCAAGTGATTTAGCTCCACATTTTCTTTTTAGATGCATAGGTTACTTTGGGTGGGGAAAGCCGCTGTTTTGCTGTCACTTGTTGAGCTTAAAACGAATAAAATCGGTACCCCCAGGTGCGTGCCTGGCTCTTCTCAGCGCTGAGGGAAACCAGGCAGGTACACCCCCCCACACACCCGCCCGCCGAGCAAAGGCTGAGAGCTCCCCTCCGATTTGGCGCACCTCCTTCTGATCCGGCACCTCATTGGCCATCCGAGAAGAGGGCTTGTCAAACGCCTGCGCCGATTGGCTCCCCCTGGTGTCAGCTCTTTGGCGCCCAGCTTAGCCGTGAGGAGAGCGGGCTCTGGGCTGATGTGGGGCCAGGCGCGCGACAGCCAATCACCGCCGACAGCGTCGCACCGCGCGGGATCCGTCCGCAGCGCGGAGCCGCCTGGGGGGCGGTGGCAGGCGGGAGGGGGCGATGGGGGGTGGACGGTTGGCGGGCTGCCCTCTGAGCTGCCCGTCAGCGCCTCTGCCTCGGCCGTGAGGGGCTGGCCAGGTGTTCGGGGTAGGCGTGACTCCCGGAGAGCTCTGGAGGGCAGGGGGGCAAAAACCCAGAAGGGCGTTGAGGGGTCTTGAAGGGTCTCTGGGGGGCGCTGAGGGGTGCTGAGGAGTGCTGAGGGCGCTTCTGGTGGCCCTGGACTTCCGGCGGGGGCTGCAGAAGGAAGTGCCCCCCCAGCCACAGGGCTGTCCCAGGCCCCACGTGTGTCAGTTGGCACTTCTGTGGCCCCACGGGTGCCTCTGCAACTATACAAGCAAAAAAATTTAATTTTTTTTTTTTTTTTTTTTCCCACGGGCACGCTCATGGATGGAGCAGGCTGTTTTCAGCACCTCAGGTCTTGGCTCTCCAGATCCAGTTGAAACAGGGATGTATCCAAGGCCTGGGCACTGGGATGAGCAGCCTAAGGGCCTCACTTGCTACGGTTCTTGCGCTGCTGGTGGCCTTGCTGAGTGCTGCCGGGGCTGAGGGGCACAGCAGTAGGCACCATGTCCTGATCCCACCTGCAGCCTCTCCAGGCCCAGCAGGGAGTTGTTAAGAAATGTGCTTCATGGGAGGTTCTTCTCGAGGAAAATAAAGATTGGGAAGAGTGGTCAAATCATGTTGCTATGGCTTTCAAATTTAATTAATTTCAAATTTAATAAAGTAGTAGCACAAAAACCTAAGTGATGTTTACAGCAAGTGCAGTTCCATCTACTATGTGTATCATACCTTTGTATTGACAGCATATGTCCATACAATTTACCATCAATTTCATATTTCTCAAGGCTTTTAAGAATCACGAAGGAAATTGTGACCTTGAAAGATGATTACATAAAGAGCATGTATATGCTCCGTGATTTCCACGGTAGGTATTGCACTGCCCCACTACTTGGCCGTAGTGGGCTGTTTCAACACACGACCGCCAAGAGCAGGGCCCGAGGTTTGACAGAAACCTGGCTCCAGTGCCCAGTGCTGCGGGAGGGAGCATTGTGAAACCCCAGGGAAACGAAGGCTGTGGAGAAACAAGCTTCTTGCTTCACTATTGGGTCAAAGACCCTTTTCAGGAAGGATTTCTCCAACGCTCTGTGGAAAAATCATAATGAGAATTAAAAAACAGCGGGCGAGGTGTCCATGACCCCCGGGGGCCGCACGCCCCTCCCCTCAGCGGGCGGGGCGCTGCCCGCACTCCTTTCTCTCCGCGGAAGGTTACGAGGAAGGGCGGTGCTACGCTCCCCTAAAGGCCGCGGCGGGGGCCGGGGCTACACGGTGTGGCTGGGGCCGGCGTTGGGTGTGGGTGGGTGAGCGCGGCCGTGTGGAAGGTGGCCTCGGTTGCTCGGCTGTCCTGCGCTCACTCTCAGCCGCCGCCATGTCGTGGGAGACCGAGATCATGGAGTCGCAGGTGATGTGGGAGCCCGACACCAAGCGGAACACGCACATGGACCGGTTCCGCGCCGCCGTGGCCAGCAGCTGCGGGCTCCGCCTGGGTGAGCGGCGGGCGGGCGGCTGGGTGGGCAGCCCCTGGCCGGGATCCGCTTCCCCGGAACCCCCCCGGGTCGGAGGGTGCGCCCCGAGCGGTCCAGGCTGCGGGCGCGATGCTCTGCAGTGCCCCGCGACGAGGCCTCGGGCGCCGCATCCCGGAGGTGGGAGCTGATAAAGAAGGCAAACAACCTTATCTGCTACTGGCCAGTGGCCCGACAGGAGCTGTCAGCACCTGCGGTGTGAGCACCTGTGCTCGGAGAGGGCCTCGTGGGGCTCCCACAAGAGCGGCCGTGTGGGGTGAGCGAGGGTTTGGGGGCTGCGGTCACCGGGAGTCTTCACGTGGAGCTTTGAGAGCTGAAGTGTGAGAGCTCACCGCTGGTTGTGGAGGGGGTGTCTTGATTTGACTCCCGTGAACACCCTGGGGAGCGGAGCATGGTGAGGTGATGGGAGTGGTTTCCTTCTGCGTGTCTGTTTGAGCTCTTTGACTTAAAGCTCTGCTTCATGCTCTTCCAGCATGCTCTATCCACTGTGGATAGGTGTTTAGTCCTCTGGCTTAAGTTAGTAATCTGACGACTTTGAATTTAGCCCTGCTTTGAGTGGGGGGTTAGGCCCACAGAGAGGTCTCCCAGCCTGAATTGCTTGGTGCTCTTCAGTTTCAGTGATCACAGGCAGGAGCTGCATATCAGGAGGTGCTGGTTATGTGGGCTCACACAGAAGCATGACCGTGTTGGGGTCAAGCTCTCCAGTTCTCACCAGCTTGCTTTATGCTGGCTGTTCTACCTGAGCACTTGCTCACCAAGTTGATTGGGGAGCCTTTAGGTAATCATCCATCTGCTGAGGGATGAGCATGGAGGAAGCAGTTGTGTCAAGTGTCCTCACTTTTTGTGTGTCTGGTATTAATGTCTGTGACGTAAGCTGAGATGTTCTGGAGTAGTGGCAATGTGTCTGGTGCTGCAGCATTTCATGTCTGAAAAGCCATTTCTTGAGTTGCACTGTCACAACAGGTAGTCAGATGATGATCCAATGCAGGTTCAGATAGGCTGCATGCACTTAAAGCTGAAACAACTAGGATTCTTTCATTCACTCCACTTTGATGTGGCTATCAATTCAAAATGGATTTGTGTGCATATAGGAACTTCTGTCAACTTCCATTAGATCTGAGCCGATGTTTGCTGGTCTGTGTGCTATTCAGCAGCTAAGAATGGGTTCTTTATGTAACAGCAAGATGTGGACTTTGGAGAGCTAAGGGCAATATAACCCTTTCAACAGCATAGCTTCATCCAAGCCTGAAAATGTAGCAAGGAGATGCAGTGCTTGATTACTGAATAACAGGTCTGTGCCCTGAAGGACTTGGATGCTGAAGCTCACTTAGGGACAGAATGTATAGATGACATAGAACAAGCTGTTCATATAAGAAACCACATCAGAGGTGGCTGTAGCTTGTAGCACTTAAGGTTTGGAGCATGCTTTATAATTTCCTTTTGAAGGAAGAGATGAGAGATTAGTTTCTTTTGGCAAAGTTTGTCCCCAGCTCATGTGCAATGCATAGAATAATGAAGAGTAACTTGGGTGGAGTGTTTAAAAAAAAAAAAAACAAAAACAAACAGGATGTAAGGAGGCTGAGATGGAGGCAATAAGTATGTAAAAACTGAGTTCTGGAGAAGTTTTTGCTTCCATGTCAAGTCTGAACTGCAATGTCAATTTCTGGGGAGAAATCTGACATTGATGGAAAAGAATGAGTGGAATAAGGTGTAGAAGGGACAGACTGGGTAGGGGAACAGCAGTAGTGACTGAGTGTCAATAATGGCACAGGGATGGTCTGAATGTTTAGGAAAAAAAAAAAAGCTGGAAGTGTGCTTGTGGGAAGGAGACAAAGATGACTTTTTGTCAAGCAGTTGGGTGTATAACAGGATGACAAGCCCACGATAGTTGGAGAAAATGACTTCAGCTGGTTTAGCTGAAAGCATCAAATAAAACCATTGGCAGAGCAGGGAACTGTTACTACTGCTACTACTGTCACCGGTAGCAGATACTTGTAGTTAATTTGGCAGTTGGCACAACTTCAGGCAGCATGGACATGACATTTGCAAGCCATTTAAGATGGTAATGAGGAATGTGCCTTAGTTATTTATACCTTTCAGCACCTGCAGTGCTTCACAGACAGAATTTCAGTGTTTTGGATACTGATTCTGAATCTCAGCTTGAATTGTGTTTTGTTTTTTTTTTTGGGGGGGGGTATGCATTCTTCAGGTTACTTCATCTGTCTGTCATGTAAAACTTAAACTACTTGTTGCACTGCTTTTAATGCCGCCTCATGGTTATAACATGTAGCTAGTAAACATCTTGTTTTGTCTCACATGAGATATGTTACTTTAGGATGAAAGATTAGATCTGTCAGACCCCTTATTTGTTGAGGAATACTGTTTTCTTGCTTTGTAATAGTGCTGTTAGTGTATCTAATCTGACACCACGCCATCTGTGGTCTTTTTTCTGGATGAGAACTATGCAGCAAGTGTTGCTTGCTGGGGAGACCAGTTTCTCCTGCTGTATGGAGCCACAGGACACGGAACAGAGGTGTCAGTGAGCAGGACTCTGTCCTGCTGCCCTCACTGAAGGCAGTAGATACAGCACTGAGCTCTTAGGAAAGGTTCCTGCCTCTTTGGTGGCAAGTGGCTTGTGAAGCAGTTGGGTGAAATGATGCCATCTGTTCAAGTGTCCAACCAGGCTTCCTGTTGATGCTGTAGTCACTTGCCTTGAGCACTGCATTGGTCTTTGTAGCAAGGATCTGGTAGCAAGGGGCCTGTGGGGGTGCCTCTGAGCAGAGCCCAGCAGCTGCCCCAGGCCAGGTGGGGCTCCAAAGGAACCCAGTGCTGTGCAGAGCCAAGCTGTGAGTGATGCAGGGGAGAGCATGGGGAGGGGAGCAGCCCCAGTTCCCTGCTCCCATGAGCTCCTCAGTGGGAGGAGGTAGAGGAGGATGGATGCAGGGGGGAAGGTGGTTTTCGTTTGCTTTTAGCTTCTCGTTGCTCTCATCTGTTATCAGCAATATATCACATTAATTTCCCTATGTTGAATCTGTTTTGCCTGTGGTGGTAACTAGTGGTGATCTCCCTGTTCCTATCTTGACACTTGAGCCCTTTTCCATTGTATTTTTTCATCTTGCTCTTTTGAGGAGGGGGAGTGAGAAAGGTGGTTGTAGTGGAGGTTAGCTGCCTATCAGAGTGAAGCTACCACAAACAGAAGTGACTAACCCCATCTTACCTTACTAATTTTTAGCCACAATTTTTCTTGGTCCAGGGCATCTCTAACTGTAGTTTGTCTATGTTCCTGTAATTCTCTGCATAACGCTAACAGATATCTATTACTTTTAGCCAACTACAATGATTTATACCAATGGTCGGTGGAATCCTTCTCAGACTTCTGGGCGGAATTCTGGAAGTACAGTAACATCGTGTGTTCTCGCCTGTACGATGAGGTGAGTTGCTGTTACTGTAACCCGTCAAGTATAACACAAAAGGGTGGTTAGCTCATCTTACAGTTCATCTTCTGAACTGTTGCTTGAACTTACTGAATGAACGCTTCTGCTGGTAATACGAAAAATCCATTGAGTGTGTAGCCCTGAACTTCCTTGTGCAGTAGAATGTCTTGTTGCTGATAAATTTTACTACAGTGAAATCCTGAATTTTAATAAAACTTCACAACAATTCCCACACAACTTTACTGTAGTTTCCTTGTTCATGTGCCTTCAAATACCATAGAAGTCCCAGCTGATTGAGGAGTCTACCACTATACTGCCTTCAGCTTTAGGATTATGCTGATAGCATATCAGCATAATGCTGATATGCACCCAAGCTCACACATGTATTCCCTGAGTCAGCCTACCTGGTAACACACCTGTACCCCACCAGTTTTGCGAAACTGGTTCTGCAGTCAGATGTTGGCTTGAAATATCTCTGAGGGAATGGTAGTGGTTGAACACAGTCACAGATGGAATACCAGACCTTGCCTCAGTCTTGCTGTGAGACAAAAGTGACTTCCTCCTGCAAATAGAAGATGAATCTGGAATCCTGGTACAGTCCTTACATAGGATATCAACAGCCTGCAATTCATCTGAGGAAGGTGAAAGGATTTACTCATCTCTTCAAAAGCTTGATGCAGAAGAACCTCCCTGGACTTGGTAGAGAAGGGACTGGACTTGGTTCTTAAGCCCTGGAGGCTATCTGTTCTGAAAACATGTGGAGTGCTAGCAGTTCTACAGAGGAAACTGGTAAGATTCTTTGCCTCTTCCTGTCATGCAAGCTTTTGTCCTGCATGATGTGATAGACTAGGTAGTTCTCAGAACTGCATGCTCAGGTGTCTTTATGTGATCTGGTCCTTAGAGTGAATTTGGCAAGAATCTAAAAATTAGTAGTGTTTGAAGTGTAGCCTAAAGATGGTAAGCATTCTCCTAGTCCTTTTAGTGACTTTTCTGTAAACAGTAGTTCAAAATCTAGCCAGGCTGCATTTGAGATGCTTTCTTGCCCCATCTTCCTTCAATCCATATTCTGTGTTGTTAGCAAGGCTTTTTTTTACAGATTTGGACATGACTGTAAATTATCCAGAGCAAGCAGTAAGTAGCTTGGAGGAACTATTTTTCTGCCTTTGTACTGAGCAAACTAAACAGTAATGCTTATTCGCTTGCCTTACAGGATTGGCATTTCTGGAAGTCTGGCCCTCCAGACACCACCAATGGCTGACAAACTGGAAGGGAAAGTGGAACAGATGGTAGTAGCTGAAAAGTGAATGTTTCCTAAGGATGAGAAGCAAGAAGACTGATGCCCAGTAATGCTTTAACTAGATTCTTTGTGGAATTGAACACACAGTGGCCTGGAAGATCATAAGAAGGGCCTTGCTGTGGTGTGGAATCTTAAACAGGGAGAGGCAAAGTCGTCATAGACCGGCACTACAGACAAATGCACTTGGCTCAATGTACATGGAACTTAGTGAATGTCTGTGCATTTCCTTCAGTATGAGCATAGAAGACTCTGCTTCAAGGCTCAAAGCTAGAGTCAGACCTTGAAGTGACTTGCTGTTAATCCTGGCTATTGATCCATTTCTGGTGGATATCAGAAGGAAATGCTGGTCACAGTAACTGAGCTGTCCTGTGGTAGCAAAAAGCTGAGAAGTGTAATTAGTTGTACTGTTTGATCCCTGCTGCTCAGTGGAAGTTATCATTTTTCTTTGAGGAGAATAAAGGTTTTTTTATGAGTCAAAATTGATTCTTAGCAGGTGAAACATTCTCTACTTTCGCAAGTCATTCTTGGAATAATAGTAAAACTTTGTATATGTAATACAGGCAGCCAGTGTCTTATTTAAACTTGGTAAAGGTGTTAATTTCCATGTCACCTTTGAAAACAAAGGTACTTGTACCAAACAAAGCTATCCTGGCATGACAGCACTGGCATTATGTCAAGTTGCAAGTAGCTGTTGATTTTAAGTGATAAATAGTCTAAACTTGCATGTTTTTATCCCTGTGAGAAGCACTTGCCAGCTATCATTCCTGTGGAGGGGCTGCGGTGAGCATTCTAATCATATCTGCTCTGAGGCTTTCATGAGATATGCTGTTTTGCTCTTCAGGTCATACAGAGCATGGCATGTACCACAGTAGAAGGCAAGGATTGTTTTTTGTGGTAATGTTCAACTTTATTCTCAGAGGTGTAGCCTATGTTTAGGGTAAACATAATCTATGGTATGATAAAGTACAGTAATAGCCCAACAAGCAAACCACTTCTGGGATGGAGAATGCAGTAGAGGTGTTGGCAGAGGATATTGCTAATGCAGTATTTGCTCTTGACCCTAGAGGTCAGAGAAGTAGTCCCTGAATAGCTGCTGCAAAGAGCAGTTGTGGAGCAGCACCTGGTGTCAGGTATCAGCTGTATTCCTGTGCCATGTTTGCCTAACCACATAAATTGGCCCCATATACCTTGGTGCTGCTGTGAGTAGGAGTAAAACCTTACTCATTAAATGCAAACAGTAGTTGACAATACTGCAGAATGCAATCCTTCCCTTTCCACAGACTCATAGAGCATTTATGCTGGGGCTGTATGAAGTCTGAATGAAAGGCTTGTTGCAGAGCTTGAGGGGTTTTATACCCTTGCTAGAACTAGGAATGATCTGCAGAGGAGACAGTTTGTTACTTGCTGATAACCCCTAAGGGAACCATCAGGTTGTTCATGTAACAGTATCACTACAACAGAGACAGGGTTTAACTAGGATTTGTAGGCATTATTTCAGTGGAAAATAACAGAGCAAGTCTAGCACCCTGTGCTGGTGGAGCTCTTAGGAGGGCTGTTGAGCTTCAGGAAAACTAACGTTGTGTTAGACCTCTTCTTGGAAACTCTGACTCAGTACTGACTGCCTTACTTCAAGCAGTTTTAAGAGTGCCTTGTAACTATTACACTAATACATGTTGGTATGTAAAAAATATTTCTGTAGTGCGAGTTGGTAAATTTTAGATAACAGAACTCAGCTCTAGCTAATTGCTAAAAGCAAAGAAATCCCCTTAGGCTTCCCTTCTTAGAAAATTCAATTGAAATGATGATGTAGTGTATTGAGCTTTAACTTTGAAAAACTGACTTTAAGATGGCCTCCAATAATACATATACCACATACTTCAATGCACTTTTTTTTTTTTTGGGGGGGGGGGGGAGGGGGAGGCGGTGTTGATGGTGGAGTGGGAAGTACTGAGTTTTATCTGGCTTTCAGAATAACCTTGTACTTGACCTGGAAGAATGCTGTTTCTATAATGCCTGTGCAGTTTGTATGAGAAAACCTGAGGGCATGAATAGAAGCTTTCAAACATACAATTTATGAAATAATTTTGCAATGTAAAGATCATAAAATGCATGCATACGCTGCTGGGCAGTATAATTTCTAAATAGTGGGACACTTGGGAAGGGGTTTGAAGACCTTTGTGGATAATGCTTAACCAATCACTGTTACTACAGGTATGTTCTTAACTGTGACTTAATGGATAACTTGAAATTTGAGACTTAGTTATTTCAAGATGGGGGAGTTGTTTCACCTGAATATGTTTTGGGGCCTTCTGTTTATCACATGTTTTGTGTGCCTTTTTCCTAAATGGGAAATTACTTTTAACATGGGGTTACTAGGTTGCGGGACCATCTTATTAGAAAATGGCAAATGAGGTATGGTAGAAATGTGTACTCTATTTGTAGTACAACTCTTGTTGGTTGTAGAGACCAGTAGAGCTTTTGTGCTCTGAATGAAGCTGTGTGGTACTGAAATGCTTATTGCAAATTTATCTTACATGTAAATATATATAGAGAGAAATAGAATAAAAAGCTCTATCTTCAGCTATATTTGACTATACAGTCCACATATCCAGACTTGGATCAGTTACCACTGTCAATGTTCCTAATGTTGGGCTCTGTACTAAGTAACTCATGCTGGGGGAGACAGGGCACTCAGTATTCTTATGCTTTGGCTTTTATAAGAGGGAGGCTGCAACGTGCTGTAGCTCAGTCACTGCTCTGTATGTCCCCGCACAGGACCCCAGCGTGCCCTGTGGTGTGCACATCTTGCTATAGATGTAGTATTTTGGCTTGCTTGTGTATTTAAGGCTGGTGTGAAGGTAGAGCTGTCAGTGAGGAACTTTTTCAGCCTTGTTCTAACAATGTCTTTGCTCGACAAATCAGTCGTATTTCTAGGCCTGTATTAATAGATCTGGTGTCTGCTTGCTATCTGCAAACTGGGAGGAATTGTCCTTGCTTGGAATTAATTAGCATATATCTGTAGAAATGATACTAGTTTTTTGCATCAATGTATTACGTTTTTTCTTCAGGTGGTTGATACGTCCAAAAGCATTGCAGATGTCCCAGAATGGTTTAAAGGTAGCCGTCTGAACTATGCAGAAAATCTTCTGAAGCACAAAGACAATGACAAGATTGCACTGTATGCAGCAAGTGAGTAAGAATTCACGGCTTTCTTGTTTTGTTTTTTTTTTTTTTTTATAGTTCATATGTGCTGGCCGTTAAAACAACATGTATTTTTATAAACCTTGAAATAAACTGGCCTGGGTGAGGAGAAAAGAAGAAAATAAAGGTATCATCTCTGCAGAATGAGTGATACAGATCCTCAAAAAAAAAAAAAAGAAAACAGGAAAATAAGGTCCGGGAACGTAGATAGTTCTGAAAAGTCCTTGGCAAAGCAAATGAAGTTTTCTTCTGAGAATGTGCTTAACTGTCTTAAGGTAGTAAAGATGATGCTGTGTTTAACATCACTCAGTATTTGAGCTATTATTTTGTGTTTGTCATAAACACTTGCCTAACATGCCTTTGGGAGGATTTTGGCACTGCTTGATACAGTCCTTCCCACCCTCTTCCTATGCCTTTTATCTCAGAAATACTAAGGAGTACATGTGACATAGGTAGGAATTCCCTGTAGTTGTGACAGTGCAGGGAGGAAGGAAAGGACAGTTACTTGCATGGGAGAGCTGGAATTCCACTTTTCTGGAGCTCTGAAGCTCAGTCTTACTTATTTTTGTTGTTATTCTGGAGAAGGTGTAAGTCACTAAAATCCAGGTGTCCTTATAATGAAGATTGTAATTCTTAAGACCCTTCCATAAATCTGCTAACTTTGGTAACTTAAAACATATATATATGTATATTCTAATACGTTAGATGGGATTAGCCTCTGTGCGGGTTTATCAGAGCATTGCCCTACAGACTTGTATTTTGAGCTTCCCTTTTGCCGGGCCTTATCCTTGTAATAGTGACCAAGAGGTGATTCTTTGTAATAGCTTAACAATAAACAAAACAGCCTCGTAGCTTATTAGCAGAACAAGCTATACAAAAACATGGATGGATTGAGCGGGTATTAAGTCCTAGCTTCTGACTTCTGAGGTATGGAGATCAGTTGTTGAATTACATGCGTATTCCTGTTGTTCTGACTGTTTTTAACAGCTACATAAGACAGCAGAGCTGTATTTTGTATTTTAGCACTGAAAGAAAAACTTATCAGTTGTTTTACTATTTAGAGATATTGAAAGAAACTTCTCTGATTATATATATACAAAACAACTCCAAATTAGAGAGAATAGGAAAATCTATGACCTGATTTTGATGTAATAAGAACTTTCTGCTGAAGCTGGATAGAAATGAGGCTTCTAACACGAAGCTGGCTTCGAAGTGATGAGCTTTCAAATTTTGATGTCATTAGAAAAGCTTCTTAAGTATTACTTAATTGGAAAAACCTCAATGTAGTTGTTTAAATACATCTTGTGCAATAGCTGAAAACCAAACACTGATCAGTAACTCAGTTCTAAGGGTATGTAGCTGTAATGGGATTGACTTCTGTTAATGTTAAGTGTGTAATTTGAGGAAAAGTGGAGTTAAATACTTGCAGTTCAAAATATTGAAGGAAATATTAGCAACTTAGTTAGTTTTTTGGTTTGATAAGTGATGACATTGTCTCTTGGAGATCTTGTTTCCTGTTAGGAAGTTATGGGTTGTAGTGGATGATACCAAAAATAGATAATACCAAACAGAGAAATTCAGCTGATACAGGTGTATACTATGTCAGTGCCTGAGTAGCAAACACACTTCTTTCTCTTCAGGGAACAGGCCTGTACCTGTGTCTCTTTTCATGACCTTCTGCTGTAATTAATCTTCTTAGGCTCTCTTAAGTCAGAGTATTTTTCATTAACCAATCACTGCTAGATCAGAGTGGTGTTTAGAGAACCTGTGTCAGGTTCCTGAAATCACTAGGGGTGATTCTGTGGGAGCTCTGTGGGTGTAATAGGGCATGGGAATGGAAGCATAACTTTGCTAAACAATTTCATTTAGTACAGTCTCCCACTGTCAGTCTCTTATTTGCAACTCCTTTCTCCCAGGGTCTTTAATCACAAAGTGAGATCAGAATCCTGCGTTCCCCTAGAGCAACAGAAAAGAGAATTTTTAGACCTGCCCTGCTCAGCTTATGAAGTATGTGTTTTATTGACTTCTGTACTGCTTCCCATCAGCACCTGCTGTCTTGTAGATCTAAATTTACATGGGTGGAAATATAATGGTAAAAATACTGTTCCCTGATTAATGAAAATAATGACTGGAGCTGTTCTTCAAAGACCTGCTGTACCAGGGCATGCAGTGCATTTTTGTGGCTACGTTCTTGACATGTTTTCATGAGAAATGCTGGATACTGGAAATAGGATGGGCCCAATGATTTGCGTGGTTTTGCAGTCAAGTTGAAGAAGTACAGAGCCTCTAAGATGACAAACTTTGTCTTTCATAACATTTGTTTTGTTCATTTTGTTTCATGAATGATTTATTAACATCTTATGTAACATCTGACATTCAGCACAAAAATGAAAATACCCTGCAGATCTCTCAGAGGTGCATGGAGTCCAGTTCAGTTTATTTGGTTTGTGGTATGCTGGCAAACACAGATGTTTAAAAAAAAAAAAAAAAACATACTGAAAGTCATAAGTTTTCCTTCCAGAATTAGCTACTTGTACTGACTCTGGGTTGCAGTGTAGAATTTGGTTGTTTTAATAAATCTTGTTTTCTCAGGGGAAGGGAAAGAAGAAATCTTGAAAGTTACTTTTGAAGAACTGAGACAATCTGTAGCTTTGTATGCTGCAGCCATGAGGAAGATGGGAGTAAAAGTGGGAGACAGAGTTGTGGGTAAGTTTTTTTTTTGTTTGTTTTTAAAGGAGAGGAGGTAAAATTTTCTTAAAATATACAAATGAGTAGAGTTATAAAAATGTATTTATGAAATACTGCTTCACTGAAACATTCTAAAGAAAAGGCTCTTATCCCTTTTTGGTTTGTGTGAAGTATGCTTCTAGGGGGAAGGAACCTGGAGTAGCCTGCCTGTTCTCAAGCACTGCAGAGGGACATAAAAAAAAAAAAAAAAAAACAACTTAATTTGTGAAGCTCTAAGTGCTCCATCGAAGCAGAAGTGATGGAGACTTTACATCTAGTTGATCCTTGACTCACAAGGTTGGGTAGGTTCACACTGGCAATCTTGGAAATTATGGTCCCAGGCTGTTTGTTCTGGTGCCAGCTGGCGATTACTGTCCCTACAGCTCCAGGTAATGTGCAGCACTGTGAACTGCATTTCTTGAGGACTAGACACTGCCTTCTGCCACCAGTGCTTTTGGGAGTAGTGGCTTCCAGCAGAACGGTGGCAGTGAACAGCTGAAGTGTGATAACTTTTTATGTTGTTCCAGTGCTAGGCTTAGCAGTTAGAGCTGTATTATCCTTTCAGTAGTAACTTGGTATTTTTTGGAGTAATTGAAGGGTCTTTGTCCTGTCATAAGACTGTTGTGCAGACTTTTCCAAATAAACAGTTTTTTGTCTTACAAACAATTTATACAGTATGCAGTCCGGGCACAGACAGGAGTTACTCAAGTTGGCTTCAGTCCATTCATCCTGAATTGCTGCTTATGATCTTGCAGTTGATCTGTTCCATAGCTGTGCTTCTCATACTCTGTAACATATTCTCTGTAATTTTGTCAGTGTGGTGCAAGTCCAAACTGCAGTATCCTTGAAGTTCCCTGACGCCTACCTGGTAGTTGTGCTGATGTGCTCATCCATCTTACTACTGGAACCACATGTTCCTTGAGCAATATTTGGCAGTTATCCTAGGTCTGTGTAAATTTTTATATGGTGCAAACCTGAAGTGATGAAACGGCTTGGTTTGTTTTTCTGCAAGTTACAAACCAGAACTTGAGCCAATGCCTTCAAAATCAGAAGGGTATGCATTATTATCTTTTACTGCACATGTAAATATGACCCGCAAATGGGGATGTAAAATATACTCAAGAGGTCTCATACTACATGTATGTGGTATGAGTGTTCTGCTGAACTGGTAACTGCAGAGTTTAATTATCATAACTAGGGGCTTGCCTTTTCTACACAGAATTAGAATCAAATTGTTAATGTAGTATGAACCATCTAGCCAAGTCAGGAAGGCTTGCCTGAATGAAGAGTAAATTGATGCTTTAATTTTGTTTCATTTTCAATCGTAACGCTATCACATTCATACTGATAACTTCTTGAGGAGCAACAGCCTCTGTCTAAAACCAGAATAATGAATAGGACGACTTATGCTCCACAAAGTTTGGGTTTTTAGAACTTAAATGTATGGTGTTGCTTACTATGTCCTCTGCTGTATACATCAAATGATAAGTGGGTTGCATTTTTTTAAATTTGCCCCAATGATGTTGGCAAAACAGTATCTAATCATTCGTAGAACTAGAAACCTGGACATCATGAAACCAGTCAGTCATGTTTTTGTTGACCACTTTTAATGTTTTCTGTAAACACGGTCTGTCTTCATGGAGCACTGAATGTGTTAATGTGTTCCTTTTTTTGTGATTTTTTGCAAAGAAGTTACTCAGGATGTGTAAAAAAGAATATGTTGCAGACTGCTTATGGAGCTTTAATACACTACTCTGTATTGTTTTGTAAATGTAAATAAGTTTTAAAAAAAAGTTATGAGAGATCTCAAAACAGTTCTGTGCATATTGCTGGTTATGCTAACACAACAGATTAAGTCTCATGCGTAAGTGACAAGAAGCAGGCTATGTACCAGTTTCAATTACTATAACATGGCGATATACTCAGAATGTAGTGGAGCAATGCAGAAAAGTAACTACTGGTTTTGTCGGAGATTTTTATCTCTGGAAGATAGTACAGTGGGGCTACTGGATAGTGGAGCTGATATTAATGTTTAAGTATGATCTGATGCGTGCCCATTAAATGGGTCATTCTGGGTTAAGGTTAAAGAGTTTTATCTTCATTAGATTGTGTTTGCAAATTAAAGTTCTGTTCACAACCTGATTAACTGCTAGAACTCTTATCAAAACCAGTTAGAAATGCTACATTTAGAAAAGAAGGCAAAAATAATGGTGTTATTTTGTGCTCATTTGGTGAGTAGCTCTTAGAGTATAATATAGAGGAGAAATGTGCTCTGTAGCTGGAGAAGAGAACATGCTATTGAAATGTAGTCAGTGATAACCATACTAATAATGTCTTCATAACTTTAATAGCTCCTTTTAGTTAACGAGCATTTTTGCTTAGCACAACCGGAGGCTAGCTGATTCTTGAATCTTGTTTGTTTTGGCAGCTGGCTCACCTCTAAATTAAAACTAAATTAACAGACTACCTGCAGGAGGTAGCAATCCAAATTTCTGTTGACAAATCATCATTGATGTCAGTGCTTCCTTACACATAAAGGTCAGGATTTAACTGCACTTCAGCATCCTGTTCTCACAGGAGAAAATGTGTGTGTGACTCCAGTGGGAACCCTGACGTTCAATGATTTTTATGAGCAGGCACAGTCTCTGGCTATCCAGTGACATTTCTGTTGTTAAAACAAACAACAAGCAGCAAACAGATTGAGGGGAAAAAATAAAAATAAAAAAAAAAATTATATGAACCATGGGCAATTCTTGTATCTTTTTTTAGCTTGCTCTGCCCTGTTAACTCTGACTGGTGAGAGACTCTCCTTGTAATCCCCAGTCAGATGAACCTGTACCAGCTCCCAACACTTGAGCTGTTGCACAGTTCCCCTTCCCCTCCCCTGGTGCCCAAGACTTCTGACCTTGACAGATTGCATTGCCTTGGGCAGCTGCCCATACCTAGGGAGAGCAGCTTTCCATCTGGAAGAAATCAGGAGATCTTGTATTTTGTATAGCAATCTAGCTATGTACACACAGACATTTAAGTTGGGTCTGAACTTCTTTCATAGATCTCTCTCCTATGCCAGAGGATATTGGCAGTCCTTGGAAGAGCTGAAGTGTGACATCACAGTGGGAGGCTGAAACTACTGACTGTTCTCCAAATCCCAGATTGACATGGGGGAGAGATGTTAAGTGTTGGGTGGGAAAGCTTGAATCATACACCCGCTTGTGGTACTAAAGATGAGGCTCTCCAAAGCTTGCCAAAATCTATTGGGACCTAATTTGTTCCAAAGCTCTTAGCAGATGGCAGAAGGAAGGGTGATTCTTCACATAGCTTATAGCAGTGTAATGTGGGGCATGCTTTTACTTCTGAAAAGTCTTCTTTTAAATAGAAGGGAGATATTTTTACTCTTTTTGTTTTAGTTGTGTAATACCTAGTCAGCCTGCCAGGTTCTGATGCCCTTTGTTGCCACTTTTGCTTAAAATCACTTAAAATCTGGAGTTGTTAGAGTTATAAACAAGAGCATTGGCACTGTGTTTTCTTGTGAATTTCTGTTCTTTAACGCCTCTAAGTTTAACTGTACTTAACATATCCCCTAGTTTGTTCAATACAGTTTGTAGTTATATCATACCAGTAATAGTATGTTAAAGTTGGAGGTGGGTGAATGTGGGTGGACAAGCAGCAGCGTCAGCACTTTTTTTCAGCTTGGTTTCTTCCTAATTTTCCATTTCCATTACTAAGGAGATAGCACTTAATAGTAAACATAACTGAAGCAGATGTGTAGTGAAACATCTCTTCTAAAGACATCTAATGCTGTCAGTGATGCTTGAACAGTTGAAGAGACAGATACAATACGTAATCCAAGCTACAGAAGTCCAAATGTGGAGGGCTTGTGGTCTCCCCATAGCCATCTATTTGGCCAATAACAATGACTACAGCAAGAATAAAGTAAAGCTGGGAGTACCTGTGGTTTTAGTCTCCAGGTATGTTGCTTCTGTCATCCTATAACCAGCTTTTACAGCCATTCAATTACAAGTCAGCTGTGAAACAAACTAATCTTCTCCATGTGTTCACACACAAACTCCCAAACAAAATGTCAATGAATTACATTGTTTAAAGCTGGTATTTTATCTATAGTAACTGTCTTAGCCCTGCTTGCTTATGTGGGTTTTAAAGCTAGTTTTGTAAGAAGATTAGCATGTTACTAATAGTGTCAGGCCACAGCAATGCTGTGTAGGATGGCCATTTTAAAATCTTCCCAGTATGAAATCTTGCATTAACATCAGAAAGGGAAACTTGGAAGTCTGGTCTCTTAAGCTTGAGAGCTAGATGAATAGTATGAACCATGGAGAAGGTACTTCAGTTACAGGTCCCTACTTCCATTTGTCTGGATGCATTCTGTCAAGGGTTGAGCTAAATCTTCAATGCAGGGTCAAAGTTTTCTTCATTCAGATAACTAGAAATGGTTGGATGCCTCTGCTTTTGAGTGCATGTTGTGCTTCGAGGCATTAGATGCTTTCATGGAGCATATTCTCAGCACTTTGAGGAAATTAAGACTCTTGACAACATGACTACACCAGGAATTTTTAGACTATAGTTTTCACCTATTTTGAGTACTGTAGTGTAAATGAACATGTAAATTTAATTTCAGCATATGCTAGATCAAATAAGTTGTAACTGACTGCAGATGCTGTCCAGAACAGATCAGGGTCTAAGTGCTTCTTAAAAAAAAAAATATATATATATATAAATGTATACAGTGTTGGTAAGATATCACTTGCAGTGCTTAGAGATTTGTCACAGGTTTTCTCATGAAAGTTTTTTCATTTGTTTTTATGGATCTCATTGTAGAACAACCACACTTTTATTTGTGCTACTTGGTGTTGGGCATTATGACAAGTAAGTGAAAATCCTGAAGAACAGGCTGTATGCCTGCAGTGATCAGATAAAGGTGTAGAAATGCAGACTAAGTTGCCTTACATGCTTCATACCTTTTGGCAGTTTCGGATGATATGCTCAAATGCCACTTCTAAGCCAACTGACAAGTGGAAATAATGATTTAATTTTCTGGTTTGCAATAATAAGCAGACTTATGTACTTTCCCTGAGGGCTTTTGAAGGAAGAGTGAAGAGAACTTGCATATAAGAGATGTTGTAAACTCTAGCAAGGTAATCAACCAGTTCTGAAGTTTGGAGAGACATCTAGTTTTCATTGTTGTCTGGCCTGCTGATAACCCTCTCCAAGAAATGCTCATTGGAATTAATTGGCATCAGTTAAAAAAAAAAAAAAACAGTTACCATCACACACGACCATGGTTTAGGCTGCTTCATATACTTCAAATTATTGCTCTGGGATGGAGGCTTCTCTTTAAAAACAAAACACCAAAACAAAACAAATTTTGTGGTACTGTACTACTTTTTGTTGTAAACATTGACACTAGGGAAGAAATAGCAAAATAAATGCGCCTTTATGGGCTAGAGGCTTTGCTGCACTTTATGTGCTTAAGAACTTTACTGAACAAAACACCACAAACTATGCAGATCAGGAGTAATTTACATCTTAACATGGTATGGGCTTTTTATTCAGTTGTGATTTTTAAAGAAACTGTTGCGTATGCATTGTAGTACTATTTTTCAAAGTTGCTACTCCCAAAAGCACAGCTGAAATTATCAAGCTGGTTTAAAAAACCAATTTCACGGATTTTGAATCATGATAAAGAAAAAATGTATAGTTCTATAATCTTTTTTCAAAGTTGAAAAAGGATAGATATTCAAGCTGTGTAGACTAACTGGCAAAGTACCTTCTTGATAAAGTTAAAACATAACAAACTTCTATTAAGATCTATGATCTTAGTTCCTGTCACTAAAAGTACTTTTGTAAATATCTTTCATAGTGAGTTTTTGTCCCAGTGAGTTTTTGCTGCCTGGTAGATACTGCTGCAGCACCTGCAACTTGCACTGAAGTCCAGGATCTGCCAGCGTGCAACAGTTTTGTAAAATGGCTTAAGAAGCATTTTAAGGCCACTTAAACTTGCTTTCAAACACTAAATTCTAAATAGTTGTCTAAATAATTAGGCCTGTTCAAAGTACTCTGACATCTTTCAGTTGCTTAAAAATAATTATCTGAAATTTCACATCTTTGACCAGTTTTAAGGTAGTTTAAGTGTAAATTTCAGTTGCAATTTATTAATTTGTGGGTTGGATTCTGCTAAGATGAGAGTCAATCTCAGTCATGTAGCTGGCTTTCTGGAGAGTTGTTCAAATTGAACCCGCTGAAAGACTGACTAACTTGAATTTCATTTTGTCTGTGCACCTTGATAAAGTGAATTTCAATGTTGAAAACTTGCTGCAAGCTGATGATAAATCTGAAGAGCCACGTTTGTATAGGAATGTTCAAGGGCTTGTCCTACCATGTTCCCTCCTTATCAGCTGAGATGCTGGTTTTGCTCGTTTGTTTAAGATTCTGGCAGTGTATACCAGACAAAGTTTAGCCATGGAAAGCTGAATCTCTGCTTTTGAACATACAGACTTCAAATGTAAAGCAAAAACTTGAACTGTCTGCCCTCCTTCATACGTCTGTTCACACAAAGACTGTTGCTTTCAGATGCACTGTGTGTATTGAGTCATATGTTGATTAAAATTAGAATGAAGCCAGGTGTAAAAGTCACCTGATCTGTTTAGAGTGTTCTTTGTCATTTCTGCTAAGGAAGCAATGAAACGTTTATCTTTCTACAGGTGATGTAAATAGCTGAGTACAGAAAGTATTGAAGGAATGCGAGAGGCATCTCTGATGTGACCTGGTTGCATAAGAGAACCTTACAAGATCAACAGTTAGCCAAATTTGGTTTATTTTGAGATCCCTGCCTTTCTAAGCATGGCTGAATATTTATACTGTTTTATTCCAGATGCTTTTCCTAATGGCTACGTTTTGATGCGCTGCCCTGCATGTGCTCTTAGTCTCCACGTAGCCTATTCAGTCTGACAGTTCCTCTCTTCAGTGTGCCACCCTCTTATCCTGAAAGTCTCATTAATTAAGCAGAAACTTTTGTAAATTGAGAGTAAGTCTGTAGTTATAAAATCTGATACAACTTTTTATAAATGGAATTCTGTATAATTGATTGTGTCACTGGTTAGACTTTGAAGGAGGGCAGTATGGCTGTGACAAACTTGTGGAGTTACAGGATGCTTCAGCATTCAGTTCTCTTTTTTTATCTGTGTAAACTGGCTATTGTATAGAATATATTTTCTGTTAGCTTTGATATTTTCTAGTTTTCTTCCATCTTTAACCATTCAAATTCTGCCACAGGTTATTTACCAAACAGCATTCATGCAGTAGAAGCAATGCTGGCTGCTGCAAGTATTGGTGCTATCTGGAGTTCAACATCCCCAGACTTTGGCATTAACGTGAGTAGCCTTGTCGGACATTCCAAAAAAGCTATTGTTGTTATTTTGACAAATGTGGTGGACAGTGACAAGTTAGAGGCAGATGGATTCTGGTCACTTTAGTGTTACTGCCACCATGTGGCACAGCCAAGCACATCATGTTTTCTTTTTGTAGCTACCGCAAACTGAATGAAAACCCGTGCTTTCAATTCTCAGTGATGATTTTTCAGCAAAGTAGTTTCATTATTTTAAGCTAACTCTGTTGGGAGATTTCCAGACAACCTGTAGTCCTGGTGATTTTTGGGATCTTCTTTGTTCACATAGCTTTCAGCACATCATAAGCAGTAACATGCAAATTACTTTTAAAATGGAGTGTTGGATGTTTCTACTATCTAAAAGTTAGCATGAAAGCATTGAAGAATATATTGTTTGTGTATTGCAGAACACAGAAAATACCCACATTTTCAGGTGGTATATACCCATAATCTCGTGTTTTAATCCCAGGAGCTGGTTAAAGGTGTGGATCTGTCTCAGGATTAGCGCTAGAGGGCAGCAGCATTCTGTTGGTTTACAGTTGAAATTGTATCACTGGGAAAGAAAAATGTTTTTTAAAAAATCATTGCAGCATGTAATGATCAATCTGTTCTACAAATATTTTTTGCTTGCTCAGAAAATGACAGTAGGGAGTATCTTCTTTGAAATGTGATTTGATCTCTCATCTGGGGGAAGATTGTTCATTTTGCTTACATTACAGAGCACTGGTATGTTGTGTCCATGTTGATACGCTGTTATTTTCAGTCCCCAGCTTTTTTTGTGATAGTTTTCTTAATGCAACTTGGCTTTAGAGCAGTAGTGTCATCAATATCATTTATTCTCCTTTGGTTTGGCAACGTGTTGACGTGAATTCAAACCCTGAAATCTTGACAGGTCTGTAGAGGTCCTTAGGGATATTGGCTCCCACCCAAAGGAATACATGTAGGTCTTCTTCCTTCTGTGCACTTACATTTGTCCTGCTAATATAAATGAAGATTTTGTTTGTGTTTTGGGAAACACTGGAACATTTTCAACATTTCAGATGTAATTGTATATATATACTTTGTGAATCCTAGAAATGTCACTTTTCAGAACTGCCTACACACTGCAGGCTCTGAATGCCATATGTCCAAAGGCTCTGCAAGCATTCAGGATGTCTGCTGTCAGGGAACCAGTGAGTTTTCTTCCACACAGAATACTGCCCTTGGCAGCGTTTGCTTTGTTTCTCCAGTCCCTGTAATCCATTTAGGTACACTAACAAGAAACTGGTTCTTTTTGGCCTGTGCACAAGAGATTGCTGGATATGTTAGTTTAAAAAGAAGATCTTCTCTTAGAACTGTGTAAGGAGCCTTTGGTAAGCCCTCACAAAGTCAATGCAGCTTCATTCATGGGGTCCTGCAAAATTTTTCATACAGGATTTGAGGCCTATCAAATAGAATGAGCCATATCTGATATACCTGAGCTTGTAATGAAAGCAATTCATTGCTGAACCATCTGGTAGGATTAAAGTTCAGTTTAGTAATTACATGTTCCATCTGCTTGTATTCCCTTTATATCAAATCAAGCTGCCCTGTGGGATTTGATCCTGCCAGTGCAAATGAATCCAACAGGGTATGTTAGCAGGATTAGTAAAACCCTGAGAATTGTAGTCATCTCTGTGTCTGATTCACACTTCTCTTCAGATTTCATTATTCTGTTAGAGTACCCTTAGTCCTCTCATTGGTCTTCATTTTTTAAACAGACAGCATGGATCTGGGGTGTATATGCTCTGTGTTTAGCATGAGCGTATACACACAGACACTTGGTGTAAACTGGCTTATTAGTCAGTTCTTTAAAATATTACAAAGAAGTGGGGTGATGACATACCAGAGACAGATGGAAATTTGCTTTCATATTCCCTTAGAGACTAATGTTTTTAGTTAATATACATTTCTGAGTTTGTTGGTTAATACACTAGTGGTTTCTTGAAAACCTGTTCTGTTGCTGAAACTGATTCAGGGCCTATTTTTTTAAAAAGTAATTGATATAGTTAGGTGTCAATGCATTGTTATGGTGTTTTTTTTTGTTTTTAAGGATGTGAACAAGGAAGAGGAAAAGTGTCAATGCTTTTCTGTATTCTGGAAAACATTTTTCTTCAGGCAGTAGGAGAGAAAGTGTGTCCAAGTGATGTTCAGCAGAGACAGTTGCTAATTATATTTAGTTGCACCCCTGTTCCTTACCAGTGGTGGTCAGGGAACTTTCCTGGAGAGGCAACATGGAGAAGTAGTTGTGGCAGGACCTGTGCTTCTGCAGTAGGCTTTCTTGCAAGCCTGACCAGCTTAGCTTGGAAAGAAGTTTAACAGAGATGTGTTGATTGTGATTTTTTTCTTTTTGTCTTGATCTTTTTGGTTTGGTACCAATTTGGCTCTATTCTGGTTGCAAAGTAGAGCATGATGCACAGGACAGATAATAAGGCTGATAGGAAGAATAAGTACATGACGTCTATAAAGTCTATTTTTTAGACATATAAAGTCTATTTTTTGCAGCATGGAAGAAGGAGACTGCTTAAGCAGTTAGCTGACAACTTTATAGTATTGACTCATCTTGTAGTTCTTAATATTTCAAGTAATGCGTGTAGAAAGGGATGAACATCACCCTATGCTGGGAGCTTTTACTAAAAGGATTTGCTTCTTGCTGTTGAATACAAAAAGATCCATTTCTGGTAAGCTGCTGCTTGCAGTGTACCTGGAAAAAAAATAATAAAAGAAAACGCCACAAGGGTTTTCTTCTAATGTGATAATAGCTGTGGTAAAATACTGGAAACAGTCTTAGCTGGTGGACACCTAAAAATGTAGCATTTGAATGTTTCCTGCCCCAGGGGTTCTAGAAAAACTGTTAGTTTTTTGTTGGTGGCATGTATGTGTTTGATATCTTGTCATTCTGGTAAAAATCAGTGGTACGACTTCCTTTGCTAATGATTGCAGAGCAAAGGTGTGACTTCATGCGAAGCGCCACCTTGCTGTATGGTAAATGCATCTTCCAGAAGACTTTTTTTTCCCTGTTTCCCTGTTTTTCTGTACACTGTCAAAATAGCACTGGGGACAGATTACAAGGGCATATAGAGAGCACCTGTGGGAAGATGAAAATAAAATTTTGGGGGACTTCAAGTAAGGTAAGTGCCTTATTCCTACCCACATCTCACTTAGGTGCTTATTCTCTTTAGATGGGTTTATAAATTTAAATCTCAAGATTAATTTTGAGTTAGATAGCTTTGTAAACTTGATCCCTCAGTGAATGTTCTGTGATCTGTGGTGATTTTGTTACTGGTTGATGGATGGTGGGGGTCACAAAATCCATGGTTACAAACCTGTTGTACCCTGAAGATCTTGGGTGAGTGAAGGACACATGCAAGCAGTCTTTTAACAATTATTTTGTCAATTCTTATCCTTATTCCTTGCTTAAAACAAGACCTATGTTAAGCCTCCAGTGGATTTTCCTGTTTTAGCAATTCATTTTTAACCTGTTTTTCTCTGTCCTTAGGGTGTGCTGGACAGATTTTCCCAAATTCAGCCTAAGCTCATCTTCTCTGTTGAAGCTGTTGTGTACAATGGCAAAGAACATAACCACTTGGAAAAGCTCCTGAGTGTGGTAAAAGGTATACCATTCACTACATACCGTTAATTTTATACTGTAATTCAGTGCACGCTCAAAGCTTGCACTGTCACTGAAAATGACACCTTTGCTGAAAACGACACCTTTGCTTGTTGCTGTCCCTGTTCCTTTCTACTATTCCTATGCCCAATTAAAATTGCAGAATTGATATGAGTGAAAAGCATTTTTTTTGCATAATTTTAAGTCTTTTTCTTGCTTAGTTTAAATACATTGAGACTGCTATCAGCATAAATTAGCTGGCAGTGTAAGTGGGGGAACAGGAGAATTGGTGATGCTGTCTTTCTATGCCCATGTGAAGTGCTGCTGAAAACAACTGAAGAGGTGTTACAGCACTAAAGCTTGATGATTTATGCTTTTATTTTTAAAAGGCTGACAATAATGAGGAAATCATATCTTAAGTAACAGAACTTTGAGGTTTTCTTAAATGCTAAAACTATATCCAATACTCAATGCATCAGATTTACCTCTGTTCCTTAGGGCATTACACTATGATCCAATTGGACAAAAAAAACTTTTGAGTTGTATAACTGAATTGTAGTAATTTTTTCTTCCTTCCAGGGCTTCCAGATATAAAAAAAGTGGTGGTGATTCCATATGTCTCCTCAAGAGAAACGATAGATATCTCTAAGATTCCCAGCAGGTAACGGGAGACTATCCGAACTAGGGATGGATGCTGATATGTCTTGAAAATTTATGACCTCTTTAGCTTGTAAAAGCTAGGATTTAGCCAGATTTCTTGAGATGGGTCCATTAGGAAAGCACAGGTGGTATTTTGCTGTAGATGTGTAGCTTCCACAAACCCAGCTGTTGGTGTGACGGTTCTCAAATGAAGGCAAAAGTTCCTCAAACGATCTTTCCCTTCCAAATAAAGGAAGCACAGAATGTGTCATGGGATGAGACAGCACAGGAAAAATCAGTTTGGATTTTTTCCATTCTTTCTTTCCCTTAGTTATTCTGATTGTTATTTTCTCTTTAGGAACCATGGCAAGAGTGGCATTTAATTTAGGACCCCAGTCGCCATATTAAAGGTGACTAAGGCTTAAACTGAAGTGTCCTCTGCATGCAGTGGAGATTGGCTAGGCAGCAGTTTCTGCCTCTTCCTATTCCATCTCAAGCTGCTATAACATGGGATACTTTTTACTGGCTTTATCAAGATGGGAGGCAGAGCTGTGTTACCCTTTTCTAGGAAAGACATTTTTAGCCTTTTTTGTTGGCTAGAGTGGTGCAGTTGCTAGTTCAAAGTTAAGTGGAAGACCATTCTGCTTCAAGACATAATACTGGATTTAAAATTAAACTAAAGCTTTAATAAGTACTCAGTACAGCAGGGCTGCATTTACAGTGTGAGAAGCAATGTGGAGAATTCTGTTTTCTTGTCATTGATTACATGAACGGACATTTGTGTAGCTCCTATCCTAAAGCCAAACCTCCACTGACAAACTGGGAATCTGCTTTCATCTGTTAAGGCAGGCAGCTGATGATAGGTGGAGATTTTTAGGCTTAATTTTGTGTTACATCTCAATATGATACTAATGCTTCTTTTTAAGAGGAAAAGGAAACAAAAAGCAATTCACAGAGTAGAATGACTAGGAATGAAAATAATATACATAGTTTGAGTATATAGCTTATTGTAAAAGAGCTACTAGATACAGAGGTTATCTTAAATATGGGCTAGGGTAATGTTTTGTTTTGTTTTTTTTAAAGAAAAAAACAACACTGAAATGTTTCCTTTTCTCCTCTTATGCAGTGTCTTTTTAGAAGATTTCCTTGCTACTGGGAAAGGAGACCAGGCGCCACAGCTGGAGTTTGAACAGCTGCCTTTTAGTCACCCTCTCTTTATCATGTATTCATCAGGCACAACAGGGGCACCAAAATGCATGGTTCATTCAGCAGGGGTATGTCTTCCCCAGACCTGTGCTATGTATATATAACACTGTGCATTATGTTCTTTTTTCCTTTAGCAGCATCTTAAATTGTAATGTACTTTAAGGAAGAATTGATTACTGACAGTTGTTCAGTAACTCACAATGAAACTTCCAATATATACATGTAAGTTACTGGTAGTAAGCAAACACAGATTAATGAGAACATAAAATTATTTTGATTTAGACATCAGTACGGAGACCTTTCAGAGATTTCAGCTATTGGGAGCAAGTGTATGTCACCTAGCTGGTAGAACTGGTCCAGCTATTTGTTCCTAAGTTGTACCACTCCTTACACAGGCTTCTCTTCAGTTATTCCATACTCTTTATTTTTTTCCTTTGTGTAACAATCTTAATCAGTTCATTTCTATCCATTTTAAGGACGCCTGGGACCTGGGCTCAAGTAGAATCATAGAATCATAGAATATCCTGAGTTGGAAGGGACCCTTAAGGATCATCAAGTCCAACTCTTGACACCGCACAGGTCTACCCAAAAGTTCAGACCATGTGACTAAGTGCACAGTCCAATCTCTTCTTAAATTCAGACAGGCTCGGTGCAGTGACCACTTCCCTGGGGAGCCTGTTCCAGTGTGCAACCACCCTCTCTGTGAAGAACTTCCTCCTGATGTCAAGCCTAAACTTCCCCTGCCTCAGCTTAACCCCGTTCCCGTGGGTCCTGTCACTGGTGTTAATGGAGAAAAGGTCTCCTGCCTCTCGACACCCCCTTACGAGGAAGTTGTTGCGATGAGGTCTCCCCTCAGCCTCCTCTTCTCCAGGCTGAACAGGCCCGGTGCCCTCAGCCGTTCCTCGTACGTCTTCCCCTCCAGGCCTTTCACCGTCTTCGTAGCCCTCCTCTGGACACTCCAACAGTTTCATGTCCTTTTTATACTGTGGTGCCCAGAACTGCACACAGTACTCAAGGTGAGGCCTCACCAGCGCAGAGTAGAGCGGGACAATCACCTCCCTTGACCTACTAGCGATGCCGTGCTTGATGCACCCCAGGACACGGTTGGCCCTCCTGGCTGCCAGGGCACACTGCCGGCTCATATTCAACTTGCTGTCTACCACGACCCCCAGATCCCTCTCTTCTAGGCTGCTCTCCAGCGTCTCATCGCCCAGTCTGTACGTGCAGCCAGGGTTTCCCCGTCCCTGGTGCAGGACCCGGCACTTGCTCTTATTGAACTTCATGCGGTTGGCGATCGCCCAGCTCTCCAACCTATCCAGATCCCTCTGCAAGGCCTTTCCACCCTCATTCGAGTCCACAACTCCGCCAAGTTTGGTGTCATCAGCAAACTTGCTCAAAATACCTTCTATTCCTACATCCAGATCGTTTATAAAAATATTGAAAAGTACCAGCCCTAAAATGGAGCCTTGAGGGACCCCACTGGTGACCGCCCGCCAGCCTGACGCAGCCCCATTCACCATAACCCTTTGGGCCCTGCCCGTTAGCCAATTGCTCACCCATCGTATGATGTTTTTATTTAGCTGTATGGTGGACATTTTGTCCAGTAGGATCCTATGGGAAACCGTGTCAAAAGCCTTGCTGAAGTCCAAAAAAATGACATCAGCTGGTTTCCCTTGGTCCACCATACGGGTGATCTTATCATAAAAGGAAATCAGGTTAGTTAGGCAGGACCTACCCTTCACAAACCCATGCTGGCTGGGACCAATGACTGCTTTGTCCCCCAGGTGCGCCTCAATAAGTTCAAGAACCATCTTCTCCATGATTTTACCAGGCACTGACGTGAGACTGACAGGCCTGTAATTGCTAGGGTCTTCTTTCTGACCCTTCTTGAAAATCGGCACAACATTTGCCAGCTTCCAGTCTACCGGGACCTCTCCAGAATCCCAGGATTGTTGAAAAATAACTGAGAGAGGTTCCACGATGACGTCCGCCAGCTCTTTCAGCACCCGGGGATGAATCCCATCCGGACCCATGGACTTGTAGGGATCCAGGTGGAGTAGCAAATCCCGCACACGTTCAGGGTCGGTTGGGAGTTTGTCATCCCCACCGTCCCGGTCCTCCAGCTCAGGGCACCCTGGGTCCCGAAGCCCATCATCGGCATTGAAGACAGAGGCAAAGAAGGCGTTAAGCGTCTCTGCTTTGCCTATGTCATTGTCTGTGAGGAGACCTTCCCTATCAAGGAGCAGCCCTATGTATTCTTTAGTTCTCCTTTTTCCATTCACATATCTAAAAAACCCTTTTTATTTTCTCTCACAGACACAGCCAGCTTCAACTCTAGGTGTGCTTTAGCCACACAAATTTTCTTCCTACAAACACGAACAGCATCCCTGTATTCTTTCCATGACACCCGGCCCTCCTTCCAGTAGCGAAACACTCTCTGTTTCCGCCTAATCTCCATAAGAATGTTCCTGGTCAGCCACGCCGGCCTCCTGCCGCGCCTGCCTGACTTGCGATATTTAGGAACTGCCTGTTCTTGTGCTTCTAGGAGGCATCGCTTAAAGAATGACCAGCACTGGTGGACATCAAGGCCTTCAAGAGCAGCTTCCCAGGGGACCTTGCTGACTAGTTCCCCGAGCAGCCTGAAGTCCGCCTTCCCCATATCTAGGGATGAGGTTTTGGTGGCACTTTTCCTTCTGTCACCGTAAATTTTGAACTCAACCACTTCATGGTCGCTATGACCGAGGCGGCCACCAATCACCACATCTCCCACCAGACCCTCTCTGTTTTCTAGCAACAGGTCTAGGAGGGCACCTTTCCTAGTTGGCTCCGTTAGCACCTGCACCAAGAAGTTATCATCTAGGTGCTTCATGAACCTCCTGGACTTGCTCGTGTCAGCTGTGTGGCACTCCCAGTTAACGTCTGGCAAGTTGAAGTCCCCCATAAGGACAAGGGGAGTTAATCTCGAGGCCTCTCTTAGTTCTGTAAAGAATAATTTATCGGCGCTATCGTCCTGGCCAGGCGGTCTGTAATAGACTCCCACAACGACATCCCCTTTGTAGCTGCACTGCTACAGAGCTCTTGTGTAACTGTAGGCAAATTGCTGAGGATTCTTCAGGCCTGAATATTTCTGGATGCTGCAGAAAGAACAGTGGTGATTTGGGACTGGGACCAGGACCAGCAGCCAGGAACTGCTGCTCTCTGAACTACCTAACCTCTTGGTGCTCATCCTTTATGCGCTGATAGCGTGGCTCAAGGGCAGCAGCACCTACTGATTTTTGATGCTCCAGATGCTCATCACTGTATTTGCTGCATGCTAAACCCAGTGATGACAAGCAGACCAGTAGGTTTTTGTCAGCTGCCAGATTATGCCATGTAGTGCTAAACACTGAAGATTTATTCTGAGCATCCTACAAGTCCTATAAGTAAACAAGTCCTATAAATAAGCTTGAGAGAGCATCTTAGGTTGTAGGCTTTCAAACAGCTATATACTTTACCAAAATACATTTATTTTTAAACTAGGTTTGATGGGGGAAGGGAGGGGAGCTAAAAGTGACAAAGAAGGGCCGGGTGAAATTGTCACTGCTGTCACTGAAGATAGTAGGGAAAGTAGGGAAAGACCTCTGAGTTGTCCCATAGGATTGTCCAAGGGCTCCTCAGAGAAGGTAATGATCCCAATACCCCATCTGGAATTTTTTTCTTCTTGCATCCCTCCAGTGGTAACTGTGCCTGCTGCTTCCTTAAAGTGCCTGTACACCAATGCGTGGAGCATGGGAAATAAACAGGATGAGCTTGAGATTTGTGTTTGGTTGCAGGGCCACGATCTTGTTGCAGTCACAGACGTGGTGGGACAACTCCCATGACTGGAACGCAGTCATGGAGGGCTATGTCCTCTTCAGGAAAGACAGGCTGGGGAAACAGGGTGGGTGGGGTGGGGTTGCCCTTTATGTGAGGGAGCAATTAGAGTGTACCCATCTCCACCTGGTGGAGGGTGATGGACAAGTGTAGAGTTTGTGGGTAAGAATTAAGGGGTGGACTGGTATGGGGGACACTGTTGTGGGGATGTACTACAGGTTACCAGATCAGGAGGAGGAGGCCGATGAGGCTTTCTGCAAGAAGCTGGTATGAGCTTCACGATCACGGATAGTGGTTCTCATGGGGGACTTCAGTTTTCCAGACATCTGTTGGGTAAGCAACTCGTCCATGCACGCACAGTCCAAACGGTTCCTACAATGCGTTGAGGACAATTTTCTGATGCAGGTGGTGGAGGAGCTGATGAGGTGGGGGGTGCTTCTGGACCTTATTCTTACCAACAGGGGTGGGCTTGTTAGAGATGTGAAGGTTGGGAGCAGCATGGGATGCAGCAACCATGAGATGGTGGAGTTCAAGATGGAACTTGGTGGAAGAAGTAAGGTTAAAAGTAGGATTGCTACCCTGGACTTTCAGAGAGCCAACTTTGACCTCTTCCGGGACCTGCTTGGGAGTATCTCATGGGCTAGGTTGCTAGAAAGCAAGGGTGCATGTGAGAGCTGGGCTACATTTAAACAGCACTTCAGGATCCGTGCGTCCCTAAGAGTAGGAAATCGGGGAAGGGGGGCAGGAAACCTGCGTGGGTGAGCAAGGAGCTCATCGATAAGATCAAAAGGAAGAGGAAGGTTTATGAAATGTGGAAAAAGGGCCTGTCCTCTTGGGAGGAGTATAAAATTGTTGTCAGGGCATGCAGGGACGTGACAAGGAGGGTTAAAGCCCACCTAGAGATGAGACTTGCAAAACAGATAAAAGATAATAAGAAGGGCTTTTATTTTTTTTTTAAGTATGTAAACAGTAAAAGGAAGACTAGGGATAATGTGGGTCCCTTGCTGAACGAGGGGGGTGTCCTGGTAACAGGAGACGCTGAGAAGGCGGACATACTGAATGCTTTCTTTACTTCAGTTGTTGCTTCAAGGACTCCTCCCCCCGAGGACTCCTCGACCCTGGAGGGAGGAGAAAAAGTCTGGGAAGTGGAGATTTCCCCCCCTTGTTGACAAGGGAATGATTCAGGAGCGTCTGAGTGGGCTCAACGCATACAAATCCATGGGTCCCCATGGGATGCATTCATGTGTGCTAAGGGAGTTGGCAGAGGTGATAGCTGAACTGCTCTCTATCATCTTTGAAAGATCCTGGAGAACAGGAGAGGTGCGTGAAGATTGGAGGATAGCCAGTGTCACTCCGGTCTTCAAGAAGGGCAAGAAGGAGGATCCAGGAAACTACAGGCCAGTCAGTCTCACCTCTGTCCCTGGAAAGGTGTTGGAACAGCTTTTTCTGGATGCCATCTCCAAGCAACTGTAAGAGAAGAAGGTTATGAGGAGTAGTCAGTATGGATTGACCAAGGGGAAGTCGTGCTCGACCGACGTCATTGCCTTCTATGATGGCATCACCAGCTGGGTAGATGGGGGGGAGAGCAGTGGATGTCATCTACCTTGACTATAGCAAGGCTTTCGATACTGTCTCCCATGACATCCTGATAGCAAAGCTGATAAAGTGTGGGATAGAGGAGTGGGCAGTAAGGTAGGTTGAGAACTGGCTGACTGGCTGAGCTCAGAGGGTGGTGATTGGTGATGCAGAGTCTGGCTGGAGACCTGTGACTAGTGGTGTTCCCCAGGGGTTGGTGCTGGGTCTGGTCTTGTTCAACATCTTCATTGATGACCTTGACGAGGGAATAGTGTCTGCCCTCAGCAAGTATGCTGATGCCATAAAGCTGGGAAGAGTGGCTTACGCGCCAGAAGGCTGTGCTGCCATTCAGTGAGACCTGGACAGGCTGGAGAGACGGGTAGGAAGAAACCAAATGAGGTTTAATAAGAGCAAGTGTAGAGTCCTGCACCTGGGAAGGAATGACCGCATGTATCAGTACAGGCTGGGGGATGACCTGCTGGAGAGGAGCTCTGAGGAGAAGGACCTGGAGGTCCTGGTGGACAACAGGTTGACCATGAGCTAGCAGTGTGCCCTTGTGGCCAAGAGGGCCAATGGGATCCTGGCGTGCATTAAAAGGAGCGTGGCCAGCAGGTCAAGGGAGGTGATCCTCCCCCTCTACTCTGCCCTGGTCAGGCCTCACCTGGAGTACTGTGTCCTGTTCTGGGCTACCTGGTACAAGAAAGACAGGGATCTCCTGGAAAGAGTCCAGTGGAGGGCCACAAAGATGATACGGGGCCTGGAGCATCTTCCCTACGAGGAAAGGCTGAGAGACCTGGGGCTGTTCAGCCTGGAGAAAAGAAGACTGAGAGGGGATCTCATCAATGTGTATAAATACCTGAGGTGTGGGAGACAGGGATTTGGCCAACCTCTTTTCAGTGGTTTGCAGGGACAGGACAAGGAGTAATGGCCACAAGATAGAGCACAGGAAGTTCCACACCAACATGCGAAACAACTTCTTCATGGTGAGGGTGACGGAGCACTGGAACAGGCAGCCCAGGGAGGTTGTGGAGTCTCCTTCTCTGGAAATATTTAAGGCCTGTCTGGACGCCTACGTGGGCAGCCTGCTCTAAGGAACCTGCTTTGGCAGGGGGCTTGGACCCGATGATCTTTCGAGGTCCCTTCTAACCCCTTCGATTCTGTGATTTATCTATTTTTACAGACTGAGGGTTACCAGGGCTTTAGGGGGAAATATTTAATGGTCTTTGCGTAAAGTTATTGTTAAAGAAAACTGTTTTGGAAGCTGTGGAAAAGTAATAACTAAATGGTTATTTAAAGGAAAGCTTTTCTTTAAAATTTTAATTGAATTTTACTTTTACTACTTTGTGTGGTTATTTCAGAGGCAATGTGCTTGCTTTTATACATGGAATAATTAACACCTGCAATTCTTCTGGCAAAGCTAACGAGTTAGTCATAGCATTTGTAAATCCTGAATGTAAAATTTTTAAATGTAGGTAATAGTAATGTATAGCTAGATGGCAGCATTGTGACAGCTCACTGTATTCAAACACTGGCAGGTGAATTAAGACATGGTTCCTATAAGAAAATCAGATTTACTCTTTTATTTAATGTTTTCTCCCTTTTCTCCCAAAATGTGTGCTGTTTTTATGACTTTTTCATTTCAAATATTTACCTGTAATGTATTTTCTTTCTGCATAAATCTTATTGCATGTTTATGAGGCTCTTAACAGTTCCACTATAACTCATTACATAAACACAAAAAGCACTATTTTAAAATCAACCACATTGTGTCACTGCAGTGAAGTGACTTAGAAGTAGTTTGTAAACTTATTTATCCTAACAAATTACACTTTAATGATGATTAGAAAAACACTTCAGCTGCGTTTCCAACAAAAGTGAAAAGGAGATATTTTACTACAGTTCTGTGAATATTGATGCTGTGAGCAATGAGATTTTCTATGTTTCTAGTCACTTCACTATTTACAGGAGATATGTGTAGTTAAGTCTCTTGTTTCCTGAGCGTTAATAGGTAAGGAGATTTGCATAAATAATGTATGATAGCTGCTGCAGCTCATAGTAGCTGTAGGTCCCTCATTCCTCAAAGCTGACCAGATATACCGAACATGGAATCTTCCTGCTATTTACCTGACAAATCTGATTGGTAAAACCATACTGTTAAAATGATAGTCTTCATGGAGTATTATGCAGCTCTGATAGCTGGGCAGAGTTAGAAATGAAGAAAGTTGTTTATTCCATGAATTACAAGTGGTGTGCAGTGGGAATTGCTGAGGTCTAATGAGAGAGGCTGAGAAGTTCTGTGAGAAAATGGAGAATGCAATCACTTCTGCTGATTTAGATAAGCCTGGGAGTTACTTCAGTTGTGGATAGAAGAAAATACTTGTCTGTAATCCTGGAGTGCATCCTGTGAACTACAGACAACATCAGGTGTTTTTGTTTTTTTTTTGAAGACTTAATGTGCTGTCAGTTTTCTTTTCCATTTACGTGCACTTATATTTTTTTACTATTATTTTTTCAGGGTACGCTAATACAGCATCTGAAGGAACACATTCTTCATGGCAACATGACCAGCACTGACATAATTATGTACTATACAACGGCAAGTGTGGCTTATTAAGGCATTTCTAAAAACTCTTTAGTACATTTTTCTTATAAAGCTGAGGGAGCTTTCCCTGCAAATCTGCAATTTCATTTTTATGTATTTTTAATTCTTGCTTTGTAAAGAGTCATCCTACTTAACAGATTCTTAAATAAGTAAATAATCATGTGGGATAATAAAAATGGAGCAGGGACCTTTCTGATGAAAGGTCAAACCTATGTTAAATGTTTCTAATCTAATTAGTGAGGAAAATTAATTGATTTTTATAGTCCTTTAGGGTCATTGACCTAACTGCCTCATCAATGTAATCTGCAAAATAGGCTCTACCTTCCTGCAACATGTAATTAACCATACTGAAGATGAGGATTTTTTTTCTGTTTTGATAGAGAGGAAAGAATCTGAACATCTGAGTTTTAGTGAAGGAAAAGGAATAAAACTGGATGATCTTTGTATGGGTTCAGTTATGTTTTTTTCTAATGTTCTGGTAAAGAAAATGATTCTGCAGTCCTCTATTACTCTAACAGTTTGAGAAGGCTCATGTCTTTCCTCATGAGTTCCTTTCTGAACTTTGACACTACTAGTTGGTTTGTAGTACCTCCACAGAGGAATTATGATTACCTTATCCTATCTCTTGACTCGTGCTTTAAAGCTACATGTGTAGGGAGGTCTGGAATCCCTATGCCATTAGATATTTATAAGGCAAGTTAGTTGAACGTTCATTTGGAATGTTCTACTCCAGCCTTGGGGCAGGTGAGAGGATAAACAGCACTCCAGTCTTATTTTCTGATTCTTAAATAATATGATTAGAGGTAATCAGCAAAGATAAATATAAACTTGTGCTGGTTTAACAATTTAAAACTTCCAGGCAAGGAGGAAAGTGGAGGGGAAGATAGCATATCTTGAACAAGGACAGAGAGCATGCTTTGGGCCAAATGATTATGTGAAAAGCCTTGCCTGTTCATTTTCTAGTCTGTAGCTCTGCAGCTGTATGACAACAATATTCCCGGCTCTGTGATACTGCTGCCAGGAAAGTGGATGATTAGCTGACAAAGATAGAAACTAATGGAGGTATTTTCTTTCCTAGACTGGCTGGATGATGTGGAACTGGTTAGTGACTGCACTTGCTACAGGAGCTTCAGTGGTCCTCTATGATGGATCTCCTCTAATTCCATCACCAAACGTGCTCTGGGACTTGATTGACAGACTGGGGTATGATCCTGTGAGGTTTACCACAAAAACAACCTCATTAAAGGTGTCAAAAACTAGCATGTAGCCTGACAGTTTTGCCTTAATGTTGAGTAGAACTACTTAAAATTTAGCACTAAAAACAATCTTTGAGAGAGCAGAAGAGAAAAAGAGCTGATTGTTTCAAAATTAATTCAGGTATTTGTATTTGGATTCCAAGCAAACAAAGAATTTTGATTCAATAGTCAGTTTTCAAGAGCAGCCTTTTTCAAAAGGCAATAATTGGGAGCAATCTAAAGAGCAATTTCTCAGCGCACAGAACTTAAAAGAATCTTTTGTTTCAGTCAGCACAAGATATGACTTTTTATACAGCACTTTGACTTAAAGACAGAAATTGACTGGAAAGGCTCAGCAGGGCTGCTTATATTTTCATATTTTGCTCTTTAATCTGTAATATTAGATTCACCCTGTCAGGCAATTTGTTAATTGTTTTACACGGTCCTTTGTATCTAGCAATGCTCACAGTGCCCTCTCTCGAATCCAAGGGAAACAACAGGTATCATAAACAAATCCTGTGGTGGTGTTTTACTATAGTGGTTAAACTTTGCTTTTTGTATTTTTCCTATCTTTCTAACTGGATGTAAGGAGCGTAGATCTGAATGATGTTACTCTGTGGTAAAATAAGTGTCATTTTTAATTAGTAATTACCACCAATGAATTAATTTTAGAAAATGGATGCCAAAAGACTTTTTCCTGACTTTTGGTAATTATTAATTTAAATTTCACTGTCTTTTGTGCCATGAATTTAAAGATGGACATGTTGTCTCTGGCTATTATAACTGAAGATTAACGCCTAGTTGGAATGTTTCCATTAAAAAAACAATAGCTTAACACCTCTTTCCCCTAGCATTTCCCCCCCCCCCCCCAAACAGCAGAACAGGCAAAAATTTAGAATCAAGGAATAAGACAGCTTATTTTAAGCATTGTTTCTACATGCCAAAAGTAAGTGAAGATAACTCAAATGTGTCTACATGTCTCACTTTTGTAATCTGGTGCTAAATGTGGTGGCCATCTGTGTGGTACTTCATAACGCAGTCTGTTCCCAACTGTCATATGCTACATGTTTAAAAAAAAAAAAAAAGGTGTTAAGACTACCTTGCTTCTCTGAAGATGTACCATACTTCCCTTCAGATATTTTGATGATACTATAAAAATATTCAATCTCGTACTTCATGGCAAGAATTACTTAAGTGGACTTCAATGAAAGATCTATTCAAGTGAACTGTGTTTAGTCACCACCCATCAGTTATCTAGTATTTGGAAGGAAATAATAGCAGATTAGTCTCTACATGTGCTGTAGAGGAAGTGTCAAAGTTTAAAAATACAGAGAAGCATTACATATTCTAACTATAAAATAAGCAATAATCTGAAGCATGGAAGGAAAGTAGGGTATTACAGAAGAGTAAATTGTTCATGTGTTTGTGATACATGGTAAGTGAAGTGAGGGAGAAGTTTAGTTGTGTGTGCTCTCATGGTGCTCGATAAATTGTTTTATGCAGACATAGTTGTGCAAGTAACCTGTCCCTGCCCAAAGGCAGCAGCCTCTCAACTGTCAGCCATGTAAATGGCAGAGAAAGACATCCGTGGTGATAGTGGGATAGCCCTCATTCCACTTCTGAAATGGTGGTATCATCTCAAGAGCTGTTCTACTTTTCATTTTGCCTTCAAGTGAAGATAGGATTTTGTTTTTAAATTAGTTATACTGATGTATGTATTGCCCAAGTTCTGTGCATTCAACCTGTATCCCTTATTCTTTGTCTCTACACATGTTCTTGAGTAAGTTTATTGCTGTACTTTAAAACAAATTAGCAGAAAGCAGGAATAAGGTTTCCCGAAGGTCAGTAAAAATAGCAAATTGGCGCTTCCTCTGATAGAGTTGGGTACAGCAAACTAGAAATGTAGAAGGGATACAGCCTTTCTTTTGAGTTGTAATTGTGTTGTATTGGAGAAGTTCTCCAATAATTTCACACAAAAATGAGAAGTGTCATGTTCCCTATTTGTCAAAGGTGAAAAATGGACAAGATTCCCAAAGCTGTATTTTATTTATTACGTTAATTGAAATATTTAACGCTGTGCCTTCAGTGTTGTTGTGAAAGTCTTGCATAATGTAATTGCTCTGTCTCTTACTGCATTGTCATAAAGACTGGTGATATGCAACTGGGAGACAGAACGGTCTGCTCAGTCTTAAAGATACTAAACATGATGTCTCAACATTAATGACATGTGACCTCACTAACTTTGATTAGTCAAGCAATGTACTTTCCTAAAGCTTTCAAAGTGCAAGGCACGTCCTTTTGAGCCATCAATGTACAGAGTGCCTTCAGCCTCTGCTTACTACAGTGGGAATTACAGAATCTTAAAGTCTTTAAATATGTAGAACGTTTAATTTTTCTCCCTCTAGGATTACCATCCTTGGAACGGGTGCAAAGTGGCTGGCTGTGCTAGAAGAGAAAAACTTTAAACCATGTAAGTTTCCAAAGGCTATTGCATCTCCTTTTACAGAATCACAGAATTTCTAGGTTGGAAGAGACCTCAAGATCATCGAGTCCAACCTCTGACCTAACGCTAACAGTCCCCACTAAACCATATCCCTAAGCTTTACATCTAAACGACTTTTAAAGACTTCCAGGGATGGTGACTCCACCACCTCCCTGGGCAGCCTGTTCCAGTGTCTAACAACCCTTTCGGTAAAGAAGTTCTTCCTAACATCCAGCCTAAAACTCCCCTGGCGCAACTTAAGCCCATTCCCCCTCGTCCAGTCACCAGGCACGTGGGAGAACAGACCAACCCCCACCTCACTACAGCCTCCTTTAAGGTACCTGTAAAGAGCCTTTTCTCTCAGGTTCTGGTTCTGAATCATGTCACAAACAAATCATTTATGTAATTTTTCTGGATTGTAGTGACAAATGGTTACAAACTCTTGTAAAAATTCTACCTTAACCTAGTTTGATTTCCTCCTTTTTAAGGTGAAACACACAATCTCCAAACACTCCACACTATATTGTCTACAGGATCACCACTCAAATCTCAAAGCTATGAGTATGTCTACAAACATATAAAAAATAGCGTTCTCCTTGGATCCATTTCAGGTGATACTTTTATGCTATATGCGTCTTGCTAATTGTTTGTTGCCTGTGCATTTCCTTCTTGCTTGCTTGCTACATTGGCAAGCTTAGGCCTTGGATCATTCATGCTTGGGTATAGTTAGACTAAGTTGTCTCTTTTATGCAGAGATTCTCTGTGTAATTCAGTATGCCATAATGAAGCTCGTATGCAAGAGCTTTTAGGTAGAATGTTTCTGACACGGTGGATGTTTGGGGTTTTTAGCTTTTTTAAGCAGGTTCATTTATTTTGACTGGCTGTCCTTTGGGGTAACAGGGTGAGATCAAGAAAAGAGTCTAACCTACAGAATGCAGTGTTCTGAAAATAGCTGAGTTTAGCAGGAAATTCTCTTAGAGGTTTTTCATTAGTCCCATTTCAATTCTTTTATGCCACATAATTGGCACTGCAGACAGATTTTTGTAAATTATATAATTAGAGAATCAAGCCCACATACTGTGTGGTTTGTTGTAAGGAGTGCTGGCTGAGGCAACTTGTATTCATACATGTATAAGGTCCCTCATTCTGCTTTGTAATAAAGGCTGAATTTTCACAAGGCTTTTTAACTTAGTTTAGTCTGATTTTAGAATCTGAGTATTCTGCTACTGCGGTCACTTCTGACTCTGGTGTTAGTAAGAGTACTATACTAGTATTGTTACTGTAGACATTAATGGTCTCAAATGTGGAAGACTATTTTTTCAGTAAAGCTATCAGTATTATTCTTGTCCTAGAATTCTACGTCTTTAAGGTCCTGGAATATAAGTATTTCAATTAAGCAAGCACTATGATAATACTTATTTTTAGTTGAGATAACTGTTCATCTTGTGTTTGCCTCCTCCCTCCAAACTACTGTGCTAATGAGAACAAAAAAGTATTGAATGGAACAGTTTAATGAAAACAAGAAAACATTTTCAAGTGATCTTGAATATCTTAATTCTGTAAACTAGAGCCTGTTTGTTTTCTCAGTCTTCTATAAGTGGAAATTTCCTTAAATGGTTAAAGAATCTACTGGACGGAGAAAAGTTATGCCTTAGGGAATGTTTCTGTGTGAAGGTAATATGTGTGTGAAGAGATGCACATCTAAAGTAAGAGAAGAAACCTCCTTTACGACAAGTCATGTTACATCCTAAATAATGCTGGCTCTTATTCTGTGCTGCTTAATGTGGATCAGAAGCATTTGGCAAACATAGTAGTCTGCTTTTCTAGAGTTCTTATGTAGTTTAGCTTTTTACAAAGTGTAATGTGTAATCTAAATGGACTTCTTTTATTATAGGTGGGACAGATATAATTTCATGTTTCATGGGTCAGAATGTTACAATTCCAGTTTACAAAGGAGAAATTCAGGCCAGAAATCTTGGAATGGCTGTAGAAGCATGGAATGATGAAGGTAACTAGTATCTGGATAATATTATCTTACAAAATACAGCAGGTATAACCTTAATTTTCAGTCATCAGATGTCTAACAGTCCACTGTTTTGGTGCTCCCTTCTTTACAGAAGGGAAAAGCAGACAACGCCTCTTTCTTTTGTAAACAGGGAAGCCAGTTTGGGGTGAAAGTGGAGAGCTGGTTTGTACCAAACCTATTCCCTGTCAACCTACACACTTCTGGAATGATGAGAATGGAAGCAAATACAGGAAGGCTTATTTTTCAAAATTCCCAGGTATGTAACCAAGGGTGTTGGACACTGCTTAAGCTGACCAAGAGTATAGCTTGTATTGCTGCTATTAGGAAGGTACAGGTTTATTCCTGCCCAGTGATGGGCAGATGCAGCTCTAAATCTAGATTTCCAGGGTGAGAAATCCAAGGCATATCTGATAATTCTCACTCTGTTTTTTAGTGCTTTGTTATGAATATGGATCCAAATCACTTAAGAAGAATCTCTGGAAAGCGCCAATCCCATTTTGCTCCTGGTGTCATTATGCAGATATATGGCTATAACAGCTTGATAATCTGCAATGCAGACATAAACTTCTTCGCATGAGTGTGAAGTGAAAGTGCTGAATAGGTCAGGGAGCAATCTGCCATTAATGAGTGTTATAGCACCTCTGCCAGGTTGCTTCTACCTAGCAGGAGTGAATCCTAAGGCATAAGTGCTGGGCTGCTACCTCATTAGCATGAAGCTTAAGTATGTGCTGTCTCCAACATACATATTCTGCATTCATAGTCTCCCACCTCTGGTAAGAGGAAAGGAAAGCTTCTGGCCCTCAGCATCTTCCTAATCATCTTGAGCTATGCTCACTGAGTTTTTGTTTATGTGGTATAGGGATGCTGAACAGGGGCTTATAGGAGCAAGACCTCAAGCTGCTTCTTTCTGGAGATAGCTTTTCTATAAATAGCAGTAATACAGAGTAGAATTGCAAGAAAAGTTGGGATGTGCAGCAGGAGATAATCATACAGGAAAACTGAAGGAATGTTGAAGCTCACTTGTGAGCATTATTTTAATTGGAAAAAATCAGTCATTGGACTGAAGTAACTGTTTCAGAAATTCTGTCTGAAAATCCTTTTCTAGTTTTCCTTGTTAATGGGATTAAGGTTGTAACAGGTACAAGAGAAAATAGTGTTATGTGTACGTGCATGTGTTATCAAGGTTTTGTTTTTCTGTAAAAAAAAAAAAAAATAATGTTTTGCATTTGCGTGTGTGGCAATGGTCGTGGTCTCAATCTTAAAAATATTACAGAAGTTATTCCAACTCTGAAGAGCCAAATCTGATATTACATAATCAAGAGCATTAAGCACAGAGAAGCTCCTTAGCGAACTGCTGAGACGTATTGTGCAAACCCAGAGAGCTGCTTGTGCAGAATCATGCATTGTGAAAGAAGTGGGTCAAGAAAGACTGGTAGGAGTATCATTAGCTTTGTGAAAGATTTTGTTTCCTCAAAATGTGGCGTTCAGGGCAGAATTTCATCAGTTTTCTCAAGGATGCTAAATAGCCTGCAAATAAGCAATCATAAAGTAACCTAGGGTCTGATCGTAATGTGTGAGCTACCCTTGTGTGAGCGAGCTTGTAGTAATAAATGTAATGTGGATTGTTTGCACAGTTCAGTACTGCTACATTTGCTGTGGGTAGCTCTCAAAATACGTACGATGTGCTAGGATTCTTGCTGTAAAACAGATAGAAAAATGGATGGTATGCCTGTTACACCAATGTCTTTTGTGAGTAGAAGGATGAGAAACCAGCTGCTTAACCATTGTCATTCTCAAATAGGTGTTTGGGCCCATGGGGATTACTGCAAAATTAATCCCAAAACAGGAGGAATTGTGATGCTTGGTCGCAGGTACAGTTTTTTGGATAAAATGTTCTGAATAAACAAGCTTTAAGAATTGGGAACTTTACCTTGGAGCATAATGTACACAATTGTCTATCATGCCTGTTTAGAGTTTGGATTGTTAAATTCCGTGTTACAGATCTGAGTCCTTGAATTAATCAAAGCAGCTATATTAGAGGGAAGGGAGAGCATTTCTAAGTGCTGCCACATTGTGTATAAGCAAATGAAGATGATGTTTGACTTGGTTTAGTTTTCCATGATTTATAGTAATGGATCAGCATTTGGTTGGTTTGGGAGCACAGCACATTCGAGTGGAGAATCAGGAAAACTGTTTTTCTGTTCTTGGCTTTGCTATTGACTTGCTTTATAGTGCAGCTTTATTACAAAAAATCAGGTATAAAGTTGTGCTTGTCTTAGAGATCGTAGAAAAATTCAAGGTCACAAATGTGGCTAAATTTTCTGTTTGCATTTACAAGCTGCTGTTCAAAACTAAGTTGAATGACTTGAAGTTTTTTGGCATTGCCACAAACAGACCTACACAACAGATATAAGGTATGAGGCTGCTATATATGAAATGCAAGTTCCAGCTATAAGATACTGGTAACTAATGGCACACAATTGCAATAAAATGCAGACTAGAAAGACTTTTGATCTGTTTTCTTGTTGGTGGTAAATACGTATATTTCTAAGCTAAAATGAGAAATAACTGGACCTCATTTGGGCTGCTGGAAAGAAGAGGGAGGAGGAAAGGTAAATGAATAATGCTGAGGTTCTCTGAAGGTTCTCTGAAATTTCATTCTAATGAGCAAAAGGCCTTTTTTACAGAACTTAATTCTTTTAAAATTCTGTTTCTGAGGTGGCTGCCTGCATATTCCCTGCATGAAATTCAGAGAAACTTGGTTAATTGCATCATTTTTTCTTTTGATCAAACTCTAATTACATTTTAATGCTTCTTTGTTTTGTGTGTTACTTTCAGTGATGGTACATTAAATCCGAATGGAGTAAGATTTGGAAGTTCTGAAATCTATAACATAGGTATGAAATTAGCTTTCCACATCTTTCATCTATGACCTTGTTGATTTAAATCTGAAATATATGCATTATACAAGTGTTTGAAAAGATTAAGTAATAAGGCCTACTGTTCTTCAAATGGAAAATGGTACAGAGCATATTAGCATTAACCGTAAAAGTCTGTCTTGTAGGCCTGAAATTGGTTGCCTTCCTAAAATGTCTGTAGGACTGAAAATGACTTATTGAGATGTTCTTCGTAAGATGTTGCTTTCATATAACAAGGTCTTACAGATACTGTTACATGCAAGTTAATAAGAGTACCTAAACTCTGAGGCTATCCTTTTTTTTTTCTGCCTAAGACAAGCTCTTGACATTGATTTATTTTATCATTCCTAATGATAAGTGGTTGAGCTTATGCTACCATAACTGACTGAGGAATGATTCCAGGAACTAGGACAGAAGGATTGCAGTTGATGCCAAAAGTGTAAGAGGAAGGTGGGGAGGCTAAATTGCACTGCCATAGCCTTCTGAATGTAAATAGTGCTTTGCTGGAAGCAACATCTTCCTAGTGTTGTGTGAGATTTGGAGGATCAGCTTCCCTCATCTGTGGAAGAGCTGTGTGGGTGTTAATGGCAGCTGCCCTGGGTCATGCTCCATTTCAGCACTTCTGTACTTAAACTGGGGAACAGTCTCTGGTTGGAACTGGCACAAAGGCTCAAGGTTTATCCTGGTACAAACCTGGGTCTGCCTCCCCAGGTTTGATGGTTCTGTAGTATAAATAGCAGCTTTAGCAGGGACTGGTTTGAACTCTTAGTATTTAAATCCAGTTCCCATGAGAATGTCAAGCTGCACACAGTTTCCTATTTCAAATGTCTATCTTGTGAAAGGTGGTGTTACTGGTTGTGCACGGGTGCTAGTCTGGGACTTGGGCACCTGTTGCCACTCCTTGTTCTTGTGTTACCAGTCAGTTTTCTATCTAAGCAGCAATGGGTATTGCGAGAAAAGCCAAAGAAAACAGTTTAGCATAAAAGTCATTGTCAATCCCAGAAGTTCTAGCACACTACTGTTGCCCTGGTGTAAGTATCTTTGGTCCTTAAGCGCCTGCACCTGAGTAGGAGTTAGGATTACAAAGTACCTGAAGGGAGGGCTAGTAGATGAACCAATCCAGGAAGTCTGTTTTTCTCATTTAGCTCTAGGGCAGGTGATTCATTTCTTTTGGTGCAATTAGAGAAAATGTGCACCCAGAATATAACAAAAGCCTGTGCTAAAAAGAACTCTTTTTTTTTTCAGTTGAGGCCTTTGAGGAGGTTTCAGATAGCCTCTGCATCCCTCAATACAACAAAGATGGGGAGGAAAGGGTGATACTCTTCTTGAAGATGGCACTAAACCACGTGTTCAGCGAGGATCTGGTGAAAAGAATTCGAGATGCAATACGTGTAGCGCTTTCTGCCAGGCATGTTCCAAGCCTCATTCTAGAAACCAAAGGCATTCCGGTATGTCATGAAAAATGCTGCCTACTTTTTTTCTTTGTCACCTTGAATAGTAATTAAGGAGCAGTTGTCATTGCTCTTCAAACCCACATGCATGGAAATTTTAGCATCTCAAAAGTGTATTTGAGCTTTATAAATAGTTTGTCTGTGTTGCCTAGCAACATCATTTCATCTCCTTTTCAGCTAAGCATGTTTTTGTTTTTTTTAACAATACCTAAAAATGCCCATTCTCAGTTTATAAATATATGTGCTGCATTTTCTCAGTAATATATACTTAAAGTCTTTTAAAGGAAAATATTAAGAAGGTAATTTAACTTCAGCTTTTCAGGCTACCCATAAGCTTATTTTTTTTTGTTTTCTTGTTTGAAATAACATTCTTATGAAAGCTGAGAGCACTGAGCAAATTTATAAAATCATTTTGTAAACCATTTCACTTTTACATCTGTTTAGCCATTTAAATGTATCTCTATCACTGTCTTACCAATAGCAATAACTAAAATAAAATTCTTCTGCTTACAAAAGGGAGAAGAAAGTCTTATAGCTAAATGTACTGCATGCTCAGTCTTCTGGAGTTGCAAACTGCAGTACTTTACACTACTCTTCCTTGCAGTGTGAACTCTTATTTGGGATGCTTGGCTTTTTTCCTAGTCCTCTCTGATGCTACAGCCTCCCCAGCAGCTCCATGGACAGCTCATTGCAGGATGGGGGTACGGAAAGTACTCGTCTCAAGGCCATTTGCACACACACTTGAGTGAGTCCAGAGGAAAGGCTCGAGGCTCCAGCCCAACCATCTGGTATTCTGACACGCATTTACTGCCAGTATAGGTTTCTATGTGGAAATGGTCAAGAGTTTAGGACTGCCAGCCTCCATATAATGCACAGTCATTTGGATGTGATCTCTTGAGTTACTTCTGTTTCAGGCCACTGCTGTCCAACAGTATTAGGTAGAAAATGTTGTCTTAGCACAAATGTAAAATCTCCTGCACCTGTTAAATCATGAAGGCTAGATTTTCTAGGCTGAAATTTAGCTTCTGCATTAAGTGTTGAAATTGTAAACTACATAAATCACTGGAATGTACAGTATAAAGTTGATGGCAGTGAGGTGTTTATGATGGTCTGTCCCTCAGGAAAGCCTGTTTGGATCATTAATTAGTTCACACTTTGAGTTTAAAATTGAGTGAATGTTAATTACATTTCAGGTAAATATGCCAGTAGTAAAGTGATCAAAGCTGTCTCCCATCTTTCTTTGAAGTTTTTGCTTGGAATGGAAACCTCTTTCTTCTACTTATAGAAATTTATTTGAATCTCCACCTGAAATACAGCCTAATCCTAATGGAATACTGACACTGCATACTGATAGAAGTAAATAACATAGCTCTGATTTGCTGATCACTTCAGTAATGCAAAGCATGGTTTTTAGTGGCATCTCTGGGTGCTGAAGAACATTGCAAATTCTTTGTGCAAATCTTCCTAGTCCTGTCCTGACGAGATAAGCACTCTTATCGTGACCTACAAGATGCTTACCTGTTTGATTAAACAATTTAGCTTTGCTGAACAGTCTGTAATCTTTTTTTTAAAGTGGACAGTTCCCTTCCAGTCCACTTAAATTTCACAAGCATTCAGAAACCAGAACACTTAAGTTGCTTATTGTCGAGGAGGAAGATTGATTGCTTAAGGTGATTCAAGAGGGTAGGATTACACATGACTTCGGTAGTTTTAATGAGGAAAAAGTTTGTTTTAGCATCAAGAGCAACACTGAAAGAATGTATTGAATTAACGATTGTTTAGCCTGCTTTGAAAGATCAATGATGAAAAGTGGTGATTCCTGGAAAGGAGTTTCAACAGCTTTGGACGCCTGGAACAACCTGGGTTCCTTGATCAGCAGGACCAGATGCAGTAGTAGAGCAAGTTTGGTTTTAATTCCCAGAGGAGACAGACACAGCTAAGGATGTGTTTGAAAGTCAGCTTTTCAGGGTTTCCTAAAACTTTACAGTGATACTAACCAAAAGGAAGGTAGTATTAAGACCTTGCAAATAAAAGCAGAGAAGGTCATCTAAAATTATATTTTAAGCTCAGTGTTTCATTTGACCCTATTATGAGAAAGGCTGTACATTTAAGGTAAGTCATGGGTTTTAGTCTCCCAAAGACCAGTCACTGGGTTTGGGCTTTGAGCTCACCCTTAGAAAATTAAAAATTATTTGAAAACTAGATGTGTCAAAACATAAAACAACAAATTTTTAGTGTTGATACCACAATTCTGGTCTGGTTCCATTGGCTTAAACTGGAGCATCATCAGGTTCTCACAGAATTACCAAATAGGTGATTTTAATTTATTACTCTTATCAACTGTTCTTCAAATTCCACTTTTCAAGTGATGCAGAAAAGATTCTGATGCATCAAATACAACAGGAAAGGGAAGACATTGTGCTAAATCATCACTGGGTTCTTGGGTAGGTGGTGAGGCTTTTTATTTTTTCATAAAGTTACTACCTGAAAAGTGTAATTTTGCAATTCTGGTTTTGTTTTTCAGTACACGATAAATGGAAAGAAAGTGGAAGTAGCTGTGAAGCAAATAATTGCGGGGAAAGAAGTTGAGCAGCGGGGAGCTTTCTCAAACCCAGAGACTTTGGACCTCTACCAAAATATTCCTGAGCTTCAGAATTTTTGAAGTCGTGTGTTCTTTTTTTCATCTGTCTTTGTTCTGTATTTGTTTTGTATATAACAATACTATATGTAAAAAAAAAAAAAAGCTCTATTTAATACCAATGGTTGTTTTAAAATAATAAAATATTTCGTTAAGTGCATTATGAAAGGCTTGGGTAAAGTTTAGCTCCCTTATATTGGTTAAATATGCCATATGTCTTGGAGTTTTTTTCCAGCCTGGAAGGAGGAACCTGCCTGTTTTGATTTTTATATATATGATAAATACGTCTTTTCTGGTTAGTTTTACATCAGTAGCCCATCAAATGGGAGCACCGGTAGCAGAAGTTACAGTTGTGATAATAAAATGTCTTTCATAAGATGTTCACTTTTTTTTTTAAACTGGATTTTCAGCATCTTTATTTTTCAGTCCATGTGTTTCAGAGGTACCTGCAAGGAATATACAGCGATTTTAACTACTTGACTATGAAACATAGAAATATTCTATATGTAGTGCGCATTTAAATGTTTTTATAAAACCAAATCATAATGCACTAAACCTGTTCGACTTGACTCAGAATAATTTCAGTCTTGAAATATCTCATGGTACTCATGAAGGTAATTGCTGCTTCATTTTGCGATGTAACCTTCTTGTTTTAAGCTCTTACTTAGTTCATTGACTTCTGGGGATTTGGAAGGTGGGGGAGCAATCACCTCTGTATTTCTGGTGTAACTCGAGGTTATTTCTGTGGAATTTACAGTAATTACTCTGGGTTTAATGTTATTGTAGCCGAAGATGTCATCCTGCTTTTTTGTTTTGAGGTTCTTTATTGGCTATAAAGTAAAAAGTAACAATCCAGTGTTATGTTAGCTGAAGAATTCCAGTGTGTTCACTTATAAAAGCTAATGGTTTTGTAACTTTTTTACTAAATGTCATATTGAAAGTGAAAGACTAAAGCGTTTTCTAGCTCTGTATCCTTCCAGTTCATAAAGGGAAAAATACTGTAATGAACAGTACAATGGAAGCACTAAAGCATTGTTTTCTCATAAAGAAAATGTGATTGCAGTAGTTGTATCAAACCTCTGGCATTCAGTTTTCTCCTGCACTATTTGAACTTTGTGGGTTAAGTATTTAATGCATTAAAATAATGGATGTCCTTACAATTGTGTTGAATGCATTCAACAGTTACAGAGTTAATCAAAATAAATTGATTCTTTTTAATATATATTTATTTCCACTTCCACTCAGTTGTCTCAATTTTATTTTCCTTTAGACCAGTTGTCATGGAACCATTTTTAGCTTAATTTGATTTTAATGGTTTTATGCAAACTCCACCCCGCTCTAAAATTGTTCTCTGAAAGTTTTACCCTATTTTTTTACTGTTTTTTCTAATGCAGAGCCCAGGAGAAGTAAAACATTGGTGCCAGTTGTTTGCATGGTTGGCTCATTTAAAAGGTCACAAGTAAACAGGGGTGGAAGAAAGTGTGCTGAAACACTGCCCTGGATCAGTACGGTAAGAAGTTGTAGGTTGCGATGTGTTAGCTGCTAACGGGTATAGGTCTGTGGAAAGGTGCACACTCAGCCACTGCTTAGGGCAAAATCAAGGAGTTTGCGGTGGTCATGTTTAGCTGCAACTAGTAAAAGTTAATTGTATGTTTCCTCCCCCTAGTGATAGATCTCAGCTACCTAGCTCCAGTAAGCTGACGGCTGTGTGGCAGAATATGTCAAGTATTGCTGCTAATTCAGTAAGAGTGCAGCTGCCCCTCTCAGACAGTCTGTGGCAGTCAAAAGAATGCAGTCATCATGGACACCAGCTCTGCATTCACTGCAGGGTACAGAAATGCCTCATTAGCAAATAAGACTTTAAATGAGCTGGCTTCCATTTGACTTTTTGAACTGTACCAAGTTGGACAATATAACATGCTAGCATGATAAATGTGATAATATAAATACTAAGCAGCCATTAGAAAAGTATAAAAAATGAGCTATCCAGCTGTCAATAATCTATGATTAAAAGTACTTTTAAATTCCTTTCTCCTCTGGCATGCTATATATAAATTTTACATTAACTGTGACTTTGTATTCATTAAAACTTCATTAGATTGTTCTTTAATTCATGCAAAATGTCTGGAGTTTACAAAATCCACAGATCCATATTAATAAGTAATTTGGGGATATTTCATTAATTAAAGATAGTTTAGAAGCACAGATACGTTAAGAATATATACAATGCCTAGGGGCTGTTTTTTTAATCCTATATTAATCCTACTTAGAAACACTAGAAAGTTTGCTTAACATAAGATCTCCACCAAGTATAAGACAGTCCAGTCAAAGCTTTGTACTATATGAACAAAGTAGGTGTATCTATAAGTTGGTCTGTGTACTGATGGTGACTTCCTAGCCATTAACCCTTGACAAGTGCTGCAGACTGTGTTGAGCAGACAAATGAGCTCTGACTCAGCTGGTTTCAAGGATCTGAATTTCAGAAGTGCTGGACACCTATAGCTCGTTGAAATCCAAGGAGAAGGAGGGAGGAGTGAGTGCTTACATTAAGCTGGGAAGTGATGTGCTTTTGGGAGGCTGTGGCGGAGCTGGCACCGGTGTCCAGGCTGCCTCAGCCCAGCTCCTCCCATCCCAAAGTCTGTGCTCTAAACAACCACCTTACACTAATGGTAAGCAAAGATAAATGCAAGTGACCTATTTCTTTGGATACTGATACAGAACTGTGATCACAGTTGTACTCTATCCAGCTGGGAATTGTTCAAAATATCACAAAAGTGGGGGGGCTAAGTAAACCAGGTTGCAAACAAAGAGCAGGGAACGTAGCTTTCATTCTGCTTCCCACCCCCAGTTATAAACTGTGTTCCTTCCAGGGCTCGGGCATAAGGGTAATAGGGGTCAAATGCAATTTCAAGACAATCCTTGCAAGCTGGTGGCATCCAGACACTTGGCTGCAAAGGCGTGGCATGCAAGTGCAGCATGTGGTGTTGTAGGGTTAATAAGGAAATCTGAGTGCCATAGCCCGATGATGCTCTGAAGGCATGAGCTGGGTACCCCTTGCAGAAGGCTGCTGAGCTGATGGACTGTTGATCTTGCACAGGTCTTCCCATCCAGAAAGATTTGATGCCTTTGGGCTGTCAGTGTGTAACTAGTTTTACTCTGTAACGTGTGGCCGATTTCATTTTTGTTTCCTATTTATAACTCAGCGTTTGCAGTGTTTTTGGTTGAAAAGCTACATACGCAGATCTTAGTGGCATGTGTGGCACGCAAATAGAGCTTGTTCTGCAGAGTGCTGTAAGCCTCTGACAAAAATACTCAACAGCAAGCAAGTTCAGAGCAGCGGTACTACAGGCTAGGTACTTCTCTCACTCAGTCCCCTGCAAATTTGAGAGTAACTCGCTAGAATTATGTGATGGAATCAGCCCATTTGCCCTTGAGTCACAGGGAGAGACAGTTCTATCATCTCCCTTTTAGAAATGTGCTTTTGTCAGCTCCTCTTAGAGCAGGTACTTTCCCCTTCCACTACCTTATGGTTTCAGTTAATTTCCCTGGTTAGTAGTGGTTCTCAAATAACTGAAATAGGTTGGTATGCAACAGCCCAAACAGGATATATCTGATAAAATTGTTTATTGTTATGTGCAAGGAAATTGGTTGTGTGAATTACTTATTCAATGATTTTAAAAATACAGGTAATTGCCTAATAGAACACAACTTCCCTGGGGCCATTATTGTCTTTCAGTTTAATGCATGCATATTTAAAAGGATATCATTTACAAGGCAGAGCAGCCAGTCACACAAGTAAAAGGGTGTTAAAGTAATATTTAAAATACATTAGTAAAGAGTAATAGCTTGATTTTGAGATAAAACTGTAGAGTTTTATTGGTAAAATTTGTTTCTGTAGGGAATACTCCTGCAGGGAGAAAGTGTCCAGGTAACTGTGTCCCAGTGAGTCTTTGTAGAAGCTGTTTTGGGAGTGCTTATCCCCACATCACAGGCTGGTGGTGGAGCACAGTCCAAGAGAGGGAAAGGTGCTTGTCAGCTGGTGTCTGAAAGTGCCCTATGTGTGTGTGCTTGGGGCAGAGCATGGACTGGATGTTAATTTAGAGGAAGCATTTAGAATTCATTTCTGTTTCTGCACTTTCTTCAAGTGTTGAGCATTTAACCTCTGTGCACCTTTGAGGCTGATGAGAGACACTTCAGGTCATCCAAAGGCATTGGTCTTTCCATAGGTTATCTTTGTCAGCAGCTCTGCATTGAGCAATTTCCCCATTTAAACCTTTTATCTCGTTACTGACTTCCTGAGGTGTGTGTCTGTCTGGATCTCGTGTCCTACAGAGCTGAGATCATAAATCCAAATTCTTGGTTTATCTTTCTTCCTTCAAGAGGAGGATATTTTTAATTCTTAAATAAGCAGGTCTCAGACAGCAGCAAGATGTAACTTAGTTTTCTTCTGCATCTTTTGCGGAAAGAGGAAACTAAATATCATACATTGTATTCTATCAGAAATAAAACTAGGGGATGAGTTGCTGTGAAGCACGGCCATAGTCCAGTATGGCAGCTTGGAGCTGATGAGAGCACATATTTGCCTTGCTGGGAATTAGGGGCCTTTTTAGATTCAAATAATGAGATAATCAACATTGGTTTGAGCATCTTACTCTATGTGATTTGTGTGCAAAGTAGGAGTGAATCTGGTAAGAAGAGGAGGGGGAAACAGTCTCTGAAATGCTATTAGTGAGTCAAAAGAGTGCCTCAGAACAATTTTAGTTGCAGAACAATAAGACATCCCAAAGTATTAATGTAGCAGGCTGCAGCTGTCCACACAATTTCTCCTCATTGCTTCTGATGGCCAGAGAAATTCTTCCAAACAACTGATTGAGTTCAGGGGATTGGTGTGTTGGTGGGGGTGGGGAAGTCATGCCAGGCATGCCATTGTTTAACCAGGTTAAGTAGCACATTATCAAGGGCTTAATTGGACCTTGTACTTCTTAATTAGAAGACCCTGAAGAATTCTCATCCTACTACTTTTGACAAGTGGTTTTGCAAAGTTCAAGAGGCTTATCAGCATTCAGCCTGAGATCCCAGCCAAAATGACAAGGCCCCTTAGAAAAAAAAAAACATCTCCAGGATTGTTAATTAGTTTACAATAGCATATTGAAGAATACATGTAGAAGTTCATATCACTAACAAGGATTCTGTTCAAAGAAATTCTCTTTTTCAATGCTGTTCCCTTTTTTGTGTTATAGTGATTTAAAGGAAGAATTAATTGTAGGGTAACAATCCCACTGGTGGGTATATTCCTCAGTGTATTCTGATTTTAGTTTTATAAAGACAGCCTACTGTGTTTAGGCTATTGATCTACAGCCTGAGTTTTCTCAGGAAGACTCTTGTATGGTTGGATGCCATTAGAAGCAGGGTTTGACTGTATTACATTGTTATCCTAGGCCCTGGATGTGGTATTATGGGAAAGAATGGCTTGAACACCATCCTTTCAAGGATGGCTCTGTTTCATAAGAACGAGCTATAAGCTGAACAGGAAGAACAACACAAAAGGAGAGCTGAACTTGGCACTGCTGTGAAGGTTTGAGTAGACAGATGAGGATGTGTGTGTCTGGGGCAGGAGCAAGTGAGGCTGAAGTAGAACGTCACACTGTTGTTCTTTACCCTGAAGTCATTGCATGCAGTGATGTTCAAGAGCCTATAGTTGAATGCCCATTCTGAGGAGATTCTTGTTTGGTTTGGCTTTGGTACTTCAAATAAATACATTTTGGAAGCTGTACACAAAACCTAGTCTCATTTAATACATAAATTTACATGAATTTCAGTGGGGAAGAGAGCTGTAGGGTCCTATGAAATAGCGTAATTTCTGTCAAGACCCTTCATTTTGTATTCCTCTCACTAAAAAGCAGAGTTTTATCTTGGGCTCATGTAGAGGAGCCAGAGAAGTCATGTTGTGTTCACAAAGCTGTTATACCTCTCATGAACCCTGCCTGGGCCTGCAACCCATCTTTTTCACCAGGAAAATGTGATTTTTAGGGGCTCAGTGACATGCAGAGTTATATTTACTTCCTTTGGTGTCACTTTTAAACTGGTCAGACTTTTCTGGTGCAGTTGGTTGTGGAGAAAGGGTGGAGAAGTGGGGCCAGGCCTCACACAGGTGCTTCAGCAGCGCAGCTAGGCCTGGAGAGCTCATCCGTAATTAATGTCTGTGGCAGAGCACTTTTCCTTTAAACCAGATGCATTT